CCTTCAAAAATCAATGGCTTTCCTGTATGCCAAAAATTAGAAAAGCATGGCTGAAATCAGGAAAGCAACTCCATTCGTAACAGCCTCACAAAAAATAAAATACCTAGGAATTAACTTAACCAAAGAAGTGAAGGACTTCTGTGATGAAAACTTTTAAAACCTGAAAAAGGAAATAAAAATAGAGCTTAGAAAGTGGAAAAACCTCCCATGCTCCTAGATTGGAAGGATCAACATCGTGAAAATGGCAATACTTCCCAAAACTATCTACAGATTCAATGCGATACCTATCAATATTCCAACCTCATTCTTCAAGGAAATAGAAGATGCAATCCAAAAATTCATATGGAACAATAAAAGACCCCTAATAGTAAAAACTATTCTTTTTAAAACTTCTTTATTTTATTTTGTTTTTTGAGCGCTGGTACTGGAGTTTGAACTTAGGGCTTCATAGTCTTGTTCAGATTTTACCACTCAAGGCTGGCTCTCTACCATTGGAACCACACCTCCACTTCTACCTTATTTTTTGTTGGTTAATTGGCAACCAGAGTCTCTGGATGTTGTCTGCCTGGGCTGACTTTCAAGCACAACACTCAAATATCTACCTCCTGAGTATGTAGAATTATTGGTGTGAGCTACTGTTCCATAAGACTTATTTTTACAATTTTTAAAACATTTTTATTTTATTGTAAAGATGCTGTACAGAGGAGTTACAGTTACATACATTAGGTAATGAGAACATTCCTTGTCAAGCATTGTCACCCCCTCCTTTTCTCTCCTATTATCCATATGATTTTTAATAGTTAAAATTTTGTGTTATACATAATAAATAGATAAAAGTGATTGACTTGTTTCTGACTTAGTTAAGGGCATATATGACTTTCTTGTTAGGAACATGGTCAACCATAGGGTTAATAAGAAGACTGTTGGCTTTTGCTTCAATATTAGTACTTATGTAACATCATCCTATTTTGTGTTTCACCAGAATGAATTTGATTTTAAAAATGTCTCCACACAAATGAATTTGAAGAAGAAAAGAATATAGTGAAGTGGACAAGAAAGAGATCTACAACTTTAGAGCAGAGAAAGTAGAAGGTCCAATCATCATATACATCTATACCACCTGTTGGGTTATTTTAATATGTATGATTTAGGCTAAGTGGGCTGTGTTTGATCTTCAGTTTCTGGAAATCTTTTTCTTATTTTATATCTTTCAAGTACATTTCCAATTTTCAGTGAGAACTTAAATTTCACACGACATAAAACAGTTAAGAGTATTAAAAAAATCCCCAAAGAAATATAGATTTGCAAAGAGCAAAAACAATTGAAATAATTACTTTGCAGGTTCTTACGATAATTCTTAGCTTCTAGAAATCAAAATCTATTTAAGAGCCCAGTTATTAATTAACTTAAATTCTCAGAGAGGAATATTTATAAAACTCCTTTAAGGATTAAGGCTTTTAACAATTTCATATTGAGCAGAAGTATATTAAAAATTGATAGGCTAGTGAGGGTGCAATATAACTTTATGAGTAGGTCAATATATACCTGGCAATTCCCTTTAATCATTATTGTAAGAGCCTTACCCAACTCCAGCACAACATAGCAAATATACCAGGCTATGAAACAAGGTAAGCCTGTGGACTTTTCTCTATCACTTCTTTTATGTGTGTAAATAACTATGTCTTGCCTTGGTTCACATTAGCTATAGTCTTACCTGTAATTATAAGTAGTGAAATAATATATTTAAGTTGACATTTTAAATATATAGTCCTTTATACTAAAACTAGAGGATGAAAAGTCTAATTTTTAAGAATATGAGAACATTTCCTTCACTCAATTCAGCAGTATAAATTTTGTCAAACATAAGTAGCATCTTGGCACATTTTGTTTAGATGTTTAATGTAAAGGAATATATGATTGGAAAATATTCTTTTGAAAAGTGAAAGGATATGTTATAATGAAGTATATTTGAGAATCTATATAGATAGTGTAGAATGCCACATGTCTAAAGTATTCATAGTATCTGTTAGGTATTTTTACCTTTAGAATGATCTTTAAGTAGTTCTACCTAGGAGTTACCATTCAGCAAATCAATTCATGAATATAGTGCATCATGATCAACATAATTCATTTCATCATTCTTCCCCATACCATCCCAACCCTACTTCTCCTCTCAATTTTCTCAACTGTGTAGGCTATTTACTGAATTTTGATTCAATTTTTCCCTTTCATCTATTCATTTGTCTAATATCAGTCATCAAGCTACCATCTAATAAATCAAACTCATTTTTAATATAGCAAATCAACTGATAGTTTTCCCCCAAAAGTTTTACTTATAATTACTATTATCTAAAATACAATCACTGTAATTACCATGTACAGAAAATAGATAATTTCAGCAGTACTTTGTTTGTAATTATTCATATGAATGTTTTAATTTTGGTCCATGAACTTTTTCTGATTTTTCTAGGTAAAAAAGGGTTTGTATCATGATACTATGCATTTTTTTGCTTTCCTTTGTTAAATTAAAAGCACAATCCTCTTTAGTGCTTTCTTGAATCCAAAGTAGGACATCATTCTGAGGAAAACTTGTACTTTCTCAAAGTGAAACATTAACTATGACCAAATTACTACTCATTGAACATTGTGAGCAACTAGGTTTCATTGTTTAAAAAGCTTCATGTGGAACGTTTTGCTTACAGTTGTCTGTACCTTTTTACTAATTTTAATGTCTTTGAATGTAACTGATATAATAGGCATTTTTATAGTCAACCCAAATGCTGTTCTCCAATACTTGCTACTAACCGCTATTAAACATTAAGCCGGAGCTGAGTACCAGTGATGGCTCATGTCTGTAATCCTAGCTACTCTGGAGGCTGAGATGTGAGGATCATAGCCCATCGAGGCAGAAAAGTATATGTGACTCATATATCCAGTTATCCAGCAAAAAGCTACAAGTGGAGCTGTGGCTCAAGTGGTAGAGTGCTAGCCTTGGGATTAAAGAGGTCAGGGACAGCACCAAGCTCCAGGCACTGGCACCAAAACAAAGCAAAACAAAACAAAATTCTTGATTATAGCCATTCTAACTGGGAGAAAATTACATTAAGTGAAGTAAGCCAGGCCCAAAGAAACAGGTCGCATGATTTCCCTTATTTGCAATAACTAGTATACTTCTGGGACAAGCAGAAAAGCTCAGACAAGATGATGTTAAGCAAAATGATCCCCAAGATAGAGACACAGGTGTTTTTGTTTTCTTCCTTGCTACTTTTTCTAACCTACTTATAAGGTACCATGTGATTTTTTTTGTTGCTTTGTATGTCCCTCCCCCATGGTATAAACCCTCTTTTCATTGTATTTAATGTTGGTATAATTTGGGGAGGGGAAGGGAAAAGACAAAATGTTTAAATAGGGATACAGTTTGACCCATTGTAACAATGAGATGTACAAGACACTATGTTGAAAAACGAACTTTACAATTTAGGCACAGTGTGAAGGTGGGGGTGGAGGGGTGCTGTGTAGTTGTGGAGATGGAAGGAAAGGGATGGTAGAGGAAAAACAAAGAAGGAAGCAACAATGCTGGATAAGAAATGTACTCAGTACCTTGCTTATGTAACTGTAACCCCTCTGTACAGTATTTTCACAATAAAAATCTTATTTAAAAAAATCCTGGGCATATTTCTACCACTGTCCATCCACATTCATAGTTCTTTTTATTAGGACTGTGACAATCCAGTGACAAACACTGGCACAGACATGAATAACTTGCTTCTGTGTGGTAAAATGGAGAAAGGATAAATTAATTCTGCTTCTAAGACTGGGAATGGGAGCACAGAGGAAGTAATTTGAACTCAGCTGAGTCCGAGCTGAGTGGTCCAATGAAGATGTAGCAGCCAGCAAGACCGATTCAGGCTATGCAAAAATACATGGTAGGATTAGGGACAGGATAGGCAAATATTTCTGAAATTGCTTGAAGCTAGAAATCACTATGGTTTACTGAGTGACAGAAAAAGAGGTTTCAAGTTGTATAACCTGAATCCAATTATCAACCCAGGACTACAGGGAGGAAAAAATACACAAAACTAACAATTTTAAAAAATATATGTCATGGGAATTCTATGTAGATGTATGCCAAAACACTAGAAATCCATGGAGACTTTATGAGTAGGAAAAAAAATTGGTCTCTATACCCCAAATTAAATTATGAAAAGTTAATAATCATGGAAGAGCTCTTTGTTAATCTACAGCTAGGTATCCTTTGTGTGCTCCCTCAAATGCATAGTGTTCTCCAAATAAATATGATTTAGATGTGTGTTTGTATTTGCATTTTATTTGCTAGTTTTTTTCAAAGAGCTGATGGCCACAGTGGAGAAAACATTCTAAAATATAACAATAAGTCCCAAATGTATGTGCTATTTATAATCATTTATATTTGCATTTCTTGCCACAGTATTGCTGTATAACAGCAGAATTTGAAATGGATCCACATCACTTAGAATAGCAGCTCTGAGTTATTTCATTCTGAAATATAATTTATTCCCTCTTGGTTTAACGTTTCTAATCAGAAAATTGTGCTAAGAGCACAGGTTTCACAGAATTACGGGTGACAACTAAGGTGCATAGGGCACATAAAGAATTTCTTTATTTTGAGAAGTGCTTTAAAACAAGTACAAGAAAGCTTAGCTTGGGAAATCTCTCTCCTTGATTTTTCCATGTTCAGATAATCATGTGACTTGCATGGATATAGCATTTCTTTTCAAATTGTCTATGTTGCTTATGCTTTGTTCATTGTGCACTGTTTTAGTTATGTTAATAAAGCTATCTCCAGGTCTGATTGCACTGTATATATATTGTATATACAATATCATATATAACACTATAGTCAATATAACATATAACATTTAATATAAAATATGTATATATATATACAGTTATCTACTTAATTGTGATTGAGGATAATTATGTATTTTACACCTAAACACAGATTATTTTCTTTTTCTTAGATGGCAAGGAAGAAATTTAGTGGACTGGAAATCTCTCTAATTGTCCTGTTTCTGATAGTTACTATAATAGCTGTGGCTCTAGTTATTGTTTTAGCAACCAAGACACCTGCTGTTGAAGGTAAGCAATGTAAGAATTCTCCACCAATATAGTAAGATTAAGTTAACTCAATAATTATTACAGATTTAAAGAAATTAGCCCTGATGGATGAACTATGTAGAATTGTGTAGTAGTAGATATCTCTACCTGTGTACCTTGAGAAACAGAAGAGATTAAAGGAACAGAAGGTTTAACACTGTGGAATAATTGCCCATTGTAACCAAAGAGATTATTTCCATTAGTGGGGGAAACCCAGGTTTCGAGTATGGCTTGCAGAAATTTACAAAGTATGCTGGGAATGAGGCCAATTTGGTTTCTTTTTTCAGATATTTGAGAGAGAGGTTTTATGATAACAGGAAGCCAAGGGTAGGTGAAGTACAGCAAGAGGTGCTCAATTAACTTTTTCCCCATAATATTTATGTCATAATTTAGAAATACTGAACCTCCTGAATTACTGAATCTCTTCTTTCTCTCAAGACCAAATCAAAATTGGAATGAATGGGAAACATTCTGTTCCATTCTGTCTAACTGTGCTTAGCAATTTATGTGGCCTTTATTGATTTGTCTTTTTCCAGTAAAGGATAATTCACTATATAGTAAACACTTAAGTTTATCTTGCACACAGATTGCTTTAATATTCTTCCTTACATAGAGTTGAGTTCAATGTTTCAATTATTTCTTCAGGTATTTATTCACTGCTTAATGTTCTCTTCCAAGTAATTTCCCCTTTCTACTTTTTTTTGGTCTAATTTTCACCCTTTTATAGTTTGGTGCTTCTTTATCTCCTTTTATTCATCTATAAAATAAAAATTGTCAATGCACTGTGAACGTGCATTTTGTACCTTTTGTATCCTGTTAAAAGGCTGCCAGGACCCCTGGAAATGTGTTTCATTTTCCTGAAAAGTTGCCAAGGATTTATACAGTGATGTGATTATCCTCTCTCTCTCCAGTAATGATTTTTATAAATTCTATCTTTTAGCTATATCATTACTTTTCAGTGACAGTGTGAATTGCACAGAGACACAATGCTTAATAAAACAATATTCCAATTATGAAAAAGTTTTGGAAAGAGCAAAGCCTACTAAAATAACATTTTATATTCTTTTTAAAATTTTATTTATTTTTTTACTGTGAAAATACCATACAGAGGGGTTACAATTACATGGGCAAGGTAATGAGCACATTTCTTATCAAGCATTGTTGCCTCCTCCTTTGTTTCCACTTCCCATACCTTCCCATCTTCCCCCCAGCTCCTCCCCACCTCAAAGTTGTAAAGTTCATTTTTCAACATAAGGACTTATCCATTTCATTGTTGCAATGGCTCCACCTGTACCCCTTTTTAAACGATTTGTTTTTTCTCTTCCCCTCCACAAATTATACCAACATCAAATACAGTGAAAGTAAGGGTTATACTGTGGGGGAGGGACATACAAAACAACAAAGAAATCATCTTATAAATATGTTAGAAACACTTAATATATTTTTTCCAAGTCTTTCCATGTCATAACAAATGGGGCAATGTCATTCTTTCTGATGGAGGTATAGAATTCCATTGTGTATATGCTTTTACTGTATTTGATGTTGGTATAATTTGTGGAGGGCAAGGGAAAAAACAAATCGTTTAATTAGGGATACAGGTGGACCCATTACAACACTGAGATGTACAAGACGTTATGTCAAAAAATGAACTTTACAACTTTGGCTGGGGGGTGGGTCGGGGGAAAGGAGGGGGAGATGGGAGATGGGAAGGGATGGGAAAGGGAAACAAAGGAGGAGGCAACAATGCTTGATAAGAAATGTACTCATTACCTTGCCCATGTAATTGTAACCCCTCTATATGGTATTTTCACTATATATATATATATATATATATATATACATATATATGTATATATATATATATATATAAAAGAACAATACACTAAATAAAAGAAGTCAGACATGAAAGGTTAAAAAAAGTTAAAAAAAAGTTAGAAACAATCCCATGAAAGAAAAAAAAACATTTGAATACTTATCTTGGGGTTTATTTAACCTAACATCAATTTATCTGACCTTTTCTGTTTGTTTCAGACATAAACTAGTTATTGCAAATAGGGGAAAGCATGGGACCTATGTTTCTTTGGGCCTGGCTTACTTCACTTAATATAATTTTTTCCAAGTCTTTCCATTTCCTAACAAATGGGCGATGTCATTCTTTCTGATGGAGGCATAGAATTCCATTGTGTATATATACCACATTTCTTGATCCATTCATCTACTGAGGGGCATCTGGGTTGGTTCCATATCTTAGCTATGGTAAATAAAACTGCAATAAACATAGTTGTGCTGGTAGCTTTAATATGGTCTTGTTTGTGATCCTTTGCGTAAATGCCCAAAAGTGGGATTGCTGGGTCATAAGATTGTTCTTAGGTTTTGATATCAAAGACTAGTTGACTGTTTTTGATGTCCAGGGCTTATGTTTGTGAGACTTCTTTATTAGTATATTTTTAAATCATTCTAATTATAAATGTATTCTTTCAATATAGACAATCCTTATTTTCAATAACTAGTATATGTCTGAGACAAGCAGAAAAGGTCAGATAAGATGATGTTAGGTAAAATGAACCCCAAGATAAGGACACAAGTGGTTTTATCTTTCTTGCTATTGTTTTTAACGTATTAATAAGGTAATTTTTTTGTTCCTTTTTATGTCCCTCCCCCATGGTATAGCCCCTGTTTTCACTGTATTTGATGTTGGTGTAATTTGTGGAGGGGAAGGGAAAAAACAAAATGTTTAAATAGGGGTACAGGTGGACTCATTGCAACAATGATGTGTACAAGATGCTATGTCAAAAAACAAACTTTACAACTTTGGCGGGGGAGAGGGGGTAATGGGGGGTATGTAGTTATGAAGATAGGAGGGCAGGGACGGTAGAGGAAAAACAAAGGAGGAGGCAACAATGCTTGATAAGAAATGTACTCACTACCTTGCTCATGAAATTGTAACCCCTCTATATGGTATTTTCACAATAAAACGCTTATTAAAAAAACATAGACAATCTATTGCTTGAAAAATCTGTAGAAAATAATAACATGTCTCACTTTTACTCTTTTCTTTTCTCCAGTATTAGATAAACCTACTTCAACTCCAGCCACCACTGCCAGTCCTTCTGGTTTAGGAAAATGTCCTGCTGAGTTAAATGACCTCACCAATACGAGAATCAACTGCATTCCAGAACAATTCCCAACACAGGTCTGTATGAGCATTCCGAACATTTCCCTAAGCATGCGCAATAGCTTATTGTTATAGTTTCTCAATATTGGATAATATCCTATTTTTAAAGTTCTACACAAAAATCAAGCTGCATGAATCTTTTTATGGTAGCCCTTTGTAAGGAGGTAATACATAAGTGAAATCACTGGACTTGCATTTCTCAATTTCTGCTCATTCGAATTAGTAAGTTAATATTTATCATGCTTAACAGGATCTTGATGTCCACAACTTTCATGAAATTCTGATCTCTCTTATCTTCTCAAAGATAGCACAGCCTTTCATCAGTGTTCAAATATATCTGCTGCATTCCAATGTCTGTATCTCAATATAAGATTTGTAATGATACTATTAAGAAATATCACACTCATTATTTTTAATTATCTATTTTGTTTCTTACCCAGGATTGAACTCAGGGCCTCATACTTTCATTTATCTTTTAGCTCAAGGTTGTGCACTACCATTTGGGCTATGTCTCATTTCTGGCTTTTACCTGTTAATTGGAGATAAAGGACAATCAGATTTGTCTGGTTGGTCTGGCTTTGAATCTCAATCCTCAGATCTCAGCCTCCTTAGTAGTTAGTATTACGGGCAGGAGGCACTGGCATCCAGCTTCAAATTCATGTCACCCTAAATTGGCTCTTTAATTTTTAACTCACGATAATTTTTATGGGAACATAAGTGAATAGATGTTGCATTTTTCTTTCATGTCTACCTTTTGACGATTTCTAGAATGTGTTTAAAACTCCCCTCTGTTGGTTCCTCCCATTATGCAGTGAACAACTACATGAATATTAAGATTTCTAGCCTATCTTTGTGACATAACAGTAAACACATAATATTCTGATTAATATGATACAGACAATTTTCAATAGATTTGATTTTCCATAAGAAACAGTAGAAAAGAGTAGGTTTGAGAAATTACCTACAGGGAAAAGACTTGAATAACAGTATTTACTGAGATACATGGAGGAAAGTGGCCAGATAGTCTTTCAAATAACACTTCCTCAAGAAATGATTGAGGCCGGGCGCTGGTGGCTCACGCCTGTAATCCTAGCTACTTAGGAGGCTGAGATCTGAGGATCGCGGTTCAAAGCCAGCCCGGGCAGGAGAGACCGTGAGACTCCTATCTCCAATAAACCACCAGAAAACCGGAAGTGGCGCTGTAGCTCAAGTGGTAGAGCGCTCGCCTTGAGCTGAAGAGCTGAGGGACAGCGCCCAGGCCCAGAGTTCAAGCCCCACGACCGACAAAAAAAAAAAAAAAAAAAAGAAATGATTGAGGCCTATCACAGAATTTATTAGGAACAATTTATGTCACCAGAATTATGTTATAAGAATCTTAGAGGGAAACATTACAGGTCAGTGATCTAGTTTTAATGTCTACTCTAGCTTTTTCATTCTAAACTCTTAGTTTGCTGAAGAATATAGTCAATATAATGCAAATAAAACCACAGCAAATGTACTTTCTTATGACATCTAAAACAACATTGAGAGCTTATTTTAAAAGTGCAACTTTGGAGATCTGAAATAAATAGTTTTTCATACCTCTTATGTGTATATGGCAAGACATTTACCACTGAGCTACAGTCACAAATTTCAAATGAAATGAAATGGTGTCTTGAGATTTTTAATTAAACGACATGGAATTGGGCAAAATAATTTTAATGAGAGTCTAATAGTAAATGATGTTTCATCTACTGGATTTTAGACTTTTATGAGAACTTTAAAAGTTTTCAAACACTGAATGAATATGTCAGAGTCGTTCTGCCAGTTACTGGAATATGAAAAGTGGTGTGCACTGTCCAATGTCTGCTGTGGTCCATGAACTACTGGTCATTGCTCATTAACCAGCAGCATGCAACTTTTTCTTAATAGATAATTTTACATGTTAATTTCTTTGCTATGGAATACTGATTAAAACTCCATGATGAGTAAGTGAAAAATAATTAGGACTTGTCTAAATTAGGAAGAGGGGAATACACATTTTGGTGGCTTTTTCTGCTTGAGGATATCATATGAATTTCAAATGCAATTTCAAACTCTTAAGTTCACTTTTTACGTTTTTGCTTAGACTTACAGACCTTCAATAATATAGTCATATTAAATCATTGAAAGATTCCTTAAAATACATTGAATATTCACTTTTCATCATTTCAAGCTATCATGTAAAGGAATGATTTATTATTTAAATATAACAAATAGGGGTAAAAATAGATGTTATAGATATAGGTAATATAGCTCCAAGTAGATTCATACATAAACATATATCAAATATATCCTGTCTTGGAAATTATATAATATTAATCACATTTTTCTTGCTTTTTAAATGTATGAAGATGATCAAGGTAGCAACAGTACTTAAAAAGGAAAAATTGATTAAATTTTAATACAAAATTACAGTTTTATTTAGATAATATACAGGTGTATATGAATTGTGTAAATTGTACTAAGATATTTTGATACATGCATATGCTGTTCTTTGAATATGTTCACCCTGTGGATTAGTCGTCATTCCAATTTTGTTTTGTATTTTTTCTTTTAAACATAGTGAGTTTCACTATCTCATTTTCATATAAAAGGTAGTAGATTTTTGGACATATTCACCACTAGCCACTTCCTTGCTCACCCTCCCTGGTCATTTAAGTTGATTCCTCACAATAGCTCTGCTTTTACATTCATGTTGCTTTATGTTTTCTTTTAGGTCTAGATTCCACATATGAGAAAAACATGTGGTATTTGTCTTTCTGCACTTGGCTTATCTCACTCAACATGATCATCTCCAGCTCCACCCATTCCCCAGAAAATGACATAAATTAATATTTCTATATGGCTCAAAAATACTCCATCATGTATTTAATACACCATATTTCCTTTCTCCAATCATTTGTTGATGGATATTCAGGCTGATCCCATAGTTCAGCTATTGTGAATAGTGATGCAATAAATATGGTGTTCTGAATCTCTGTTGTATGTTGACTTAACTTCCTTCAGATACATGATCCCAAATTATATAGCAGAATATATAGATATATGATATATGATGAGTATATGTAATATACAATGATATTACATGTTATATCATATGTTATATATTATATAAGATATACTATGATATAATATACACATTTTACATATTATATTGTTATATTTTATAATATAATAATGAATTATATTTATACAAATTATACAAATGTATTGCATGATATATATGCATAATAATATGTATAATATAATATGTACATTATATATTATATTATATATTATATAACATATATTTAATACATATATGTTTAACAAATATAAGTTTTATATATATATATATTTTTGGAAGTGAGCTCAATTGTCTGATTCTGTGCTATTTTCAATTTATAAGCTTCCCTTCTTTGTTTAGTAGAATCCACTGGTAGCTGAGTTAATTCTAATTTCTCCATAGGCCACCCAGTTTGTTCCTCTAAGATCAAGGTCTAGATTCCTACAGAGTTGCTTTCTTGTGTTCATGGTCTATAGAAAGTTACTTCTTTATGTGTTCTCATATGCCATCTCCTCTATGAGCACACTGAAAGGGAATGATTGCACTAGATCTATTTCTTTTCTCAGAAAGACAGTAGTGCTATTAGATTTGGGATATAACTATATGAACTTCGAAACTTAATTATTTTTTTCAATGACACATTCTCAAATAGCATCATATTAGGGTTCAGAGTTTCCATATCTAGATTTGAGAGGAACTTGATTTGGGAAATAACACTGAGTAAAACCTAGGTATATTTTATATGTGATCCTTTGTGTACATTGCAATGCAGTATATCTAGATACTCATGCACATACATACAAAAATAAAATACAGAACTTATTGCATTTTACCTACCAGAATTTGTTGAGATCACATATTAATGATTACTTGGTTTTAAAAAATTATTTTGCAAACGTAACATAAGAAATGAACAGACGAGGGACAGATGCTGGTGGCTCAGCTAGCCTATAATCCTAGATGTAATACTGTAATCCAGGTTCCTTTGATCCTGGTTGAAAATAAGCCCAGGCAGAAAAGTCCATGAGAATTCATTTACAATTACCCAGCAAAATGCTAGAATGTAGGCCTGGCTCAGGTGGTAAAGTGCCAACTGTGAAACAAGGCAAATTGAATAAGCTTGTTAGGTTCAGGGGTCAGACAAAGGTTAACTGTACAATTGATCTGTTAATTTATCAATCAATCAATGATAGATGATGAATTAACATTATCATAAAAATTATTAAAGTTTTGAAAAATATAAACATAAGTAAGAACAGAAAGGAACTTCAAATATGTACAAAGTTAGCTAAAACTCATAAATTTTTTAAATTTCTTTATAGTTAAATAACTTGAATAATGTATTTTTACTAATACTTGGGCAGATTTTTTAAAAATTTTTAAAGATTGTCTCAAGTGACAAACTTTAGGTGTAAAGTAGTAAATTACTACCTTAATATAAATGTGTGAAATTGTAAATAAGGGCTATATGCTCAACAATTTGATTGGAACATATATATATAGATAGATAGATATGTATCTATCTATCTATATATATATGTTCCAATCAAATTGTTGAGCATATAGCCCTTATTTACAATATATATATATATATATATACATATCTATATATGTATATATTTAAACTAAAAAGATGTCCTCCCAAACTTTGTGTTCCCCTGGGAACCCAGAATATGACTTTGTTTGCAAGGAGGGGTTATGCAGCCTTAATACTTTAACATGAATTCACACTAGATTAAGGGATTCCTAATAAAATATCTGCCCTAAATATATCTGGTGTCTTGATAAGTGGAGCAAGCACGTAGAGACAGAGAGGAAAGCCACGCAAAGTTGGAAGCAGAGACTAGAGATGATTCCAAATCCAGGGTGGCCAACTTCACTAGAGGCCAAAGAAGGTAGGAACAGACCAGTTTGTCTTCTGCATACTTTTGAATTCAGGCTTCTAAGTTGTGGAATTGAGAGATAATTCATTTCTGTGGATTCATGCTACAGTTCTTCATAGATGTTGTGTAGCTCTAGGAAGACAAATTTTAAAAAATAGAGCATATTTTGAGAAGTTTACAGTGTATCTGTTTTTCTATTTTTATTTCTTCAAAATGTGATTTAAATATCTTTTCTTTTATCTATTAATTAATTAATTAATGCTGAGATATAGCTCCACTTGAAGCTTTTCTTTTTGTTCTTAATCAAAAATGAGATTTTTCTGGCCTTTTCTGCATGTGTTTGCTTTGAACCTTGATCCTCAGATCTCTGCCTCCCAAGTAGCTAGGATTGCAGGCATCCTGTTTTTAAGCACGTGTGTTTTACACAATTGTAATTCTGTATCTTTTAAAGTGATCATGTCTTTTCTAGTTCAACCTTTTTGTTGTGTGTTAGCATTAAAAGTGCCTTCACAAAATTTCTGTAAATAATTTTATGGAGCTATATTTTGTATCATGAGGAATATTAACATAAGCTGCATAGTTACCTAGAGTTAAAAATTGCCCAATTAGTGGTCTCACATACTTGAAGGTCTGACAAGAAGCAGCCATCCAGAATGGGCAGATGGAATAGTAATAATTTTTCTAATGTATATGCAGGTGTGTGTCTCTGTGGTGTAACTGAACCCATTTTAATTTAATGGTTAAACAGGAGAGAGATTAAAGTGTGCTTTCACATGATGAAAATTAGAGGTTTTTAATTTAGTTTTAAAGATAAATTCTATGCCTCCATCAGAAAGAATGACATTGTCCCATTTGTTAGGAAATGGAAAGACTTGGAAAAAATTATATTAAGTAAGCCAGGCCCAAGGGGACATAGGTCCCATGGTTTCCCTTATTTGTAATAACTAGTATATGTCTGAGACAAGCAAAAAAGGTCAGATAAATTGATGTTAGGCTAAGATAAGGACTCAAATGATTTTTCTTTCTCTTGTTATTGTTTCTAACATATTTATAAGATGATTTCTTTGTTGCTTTGTATATCCCTCCCGCATGACATAACCCCGGTTTTCACTATATTTGCTGTTGGTATAATTTGGAGGGGAAAGGAAAAAACAAATTGTTTAAATAGGGATACAGGTGGACTCATTGCAACAATGAGATGTACAAGATGTTATGTCGAAAAATGAACTTTACAATTTTGGCGGGGTAGGAGGGTAGAAGGGGGGACATGGGGGGGAGATGGGAGGGCAGGGATGGTAAGGGGAAACAAAGGAGGAGGCAACAATGCTTGGTAAAAAATGTACTCATTACCTTGCTCATGTAATTGTAACCCCTCTATAAGGTATTTTCACAATAAAAAACTTATAAATAAATAAATAAACAAATAAATAAATCATCTCTACAGGCTAGAAGTTCAGAAAAAATAAATAACCAGGGAAAAGTTTTGCAGGTTTTCAAACTCTGAGAACTATCACAATATGAAATGTTAACATTAAAAGATTTTCAGTTAGGAGATTTTTTATACATAGCATCATCATGCCACTCAACTTCTCAGTGGGAGCTTTTCACCTGCAATAATCTTTTATTTGGATAATGAAATTTCTAAGAATTCTTTTACACATTGAGTTGCATACTTACTTGTGACTTCTGATATATATGTATATTATCCAAATATAATATGTTGTATATTATATATACATAATACATAATATATATTATATCATATACAATATAATACATAGTATATAATATATATTTGTTCAAAGAAATGAATATTGAACTAATTAATAGCTGAGAGTTACTATCAAAGTTTTTACCTATTGAATTGAATTCAAGTTTATATCTTCTTTTTATATAGCTTCATATACAATTTGCTATGTGATTAGAACCAATGCTTTTCTCAGCACTACAATGATAAAAAAGAATAAATTCTAGTTTCTAGAGAGCAGGAACATTTATAGTTCCAGAGGTTACAATAATGTGCAAGGATTATAGGCATCACATCACAGAGCATGTCTATCAGATGTGATTTGAATTAATTCAACTTATTCAATATTTACATTTCTTCCAAATGAAAGAGTAGGAAAAATATTGTTAAGGCATATTCTATATTTAAAAACATAGGCTTATTTTCAAGCATTTTATTCATTGAGGAAACAAAGACTCACCTATGTAGTAATAGAAATTAATCACATTGCTCTGTTGCAATATTTTATCAGACCGTGTGTGCACAGCGAGGCTGTTGCTGGAGGCCTGGAAATAACACAGGGGTTCCTTGGTGTTTCTTTGCCGATAACCATGGCTACCGCATCCAGCAAAAGACAGCAAAAAACACTGGTGAGACACTTTCTGTTGTGATAAGTCAATAGCATACATTTTAAGTGGAAAATCTCTTCTAATTTTTTTGGAAATATTTCTTACATGAAAGAAAATCAGTATGTACACAAAATATTCAAATTATTTCCATGAAAAATATTTTTTGCAAGAAGTGTCTTCCAAGCTAAAGAATACTCCATCTTTATCTTAAGTATCATAACAATATAAACATGGGAAGACAATTTAAAAGTTCCTTGTGTATGTTTATAAATGAAATTATATATGCCTTTTTTGTTTATTTTTTAAGGACTTGAAGCCATATTAAACAAAATCTCTTCTCCTACACTGTTTGGGAATGACATTCACACTGTCCTTCTCACGACTCAAAGCCAGACAGCCAATCGTCTACGGATCAAGGTTTGATGATTTCATATTTCTAAAGAAGAGTAAATATTAAAATATATTTTATGAACATTATCTTTACCCTCTCAATGTTTTCTGACTTGAGATATATTTTTTCCTTACCATAGGATTTGATCATACTAATTAATCCCCTTCTTAGAACTTGCTTGCTCTTTGATAATAATATTAATAAAAATAATAATAGTGTACTCTCCATTATTTTTGAAGGCTGTGTACATTACCTAAGCACATTTTCTTCAGGAAACACATTCTTCTTAAATGTTATGTTAATAATTTTTAGTATCTTTATTGTAGGTTGTGATTTGGAGTAATGTTAAAGCTTTAATTTGAGACAAGTGTGAATAGTGGTATCTGAATGTCATCCTCATTCTGGGTTTTGTTTTTTTTTAAAACTGGTTAAAACTTGTATGCTTGACTTTAGAGAAATTAATGCTGCTGCTTAGTAGCAAGTAGTTTTGTAAGTTTAGAGAGAAGAGTACAGCACTTTATCATTTGAACAGTAATCTTTAGCACTACATTACTAGGAATTAGGTGGTATTTAAATAAATAATTATTTATTAATTACTAATAATTATTTTGCTTACAAATGCAATCATAGTATCTTATATGCTAGACCAATGCTCTACTATTGACTAAGTCCCCTCTCTATTTTTCTGAAACAAATTTTGTAACCTATCTAAGAAGATGAAGACTCCAAAAACTCTTGAGAATAATGCTATTATCCAGTATTCAAAAATCAGCATTTGGTAAAACTATCATCGATTTTTATATCGGCAGATGAAACTTTTACTTGATTTTGTATATCTGAACTTTTATAATCAATTAAACACATTTATTTTTAATAATTTATGTTTTAATTGCATATAGTCTCATAAAGTCAAACTTTAGATTGTGACTGTCTATTATATTACTAAACATTTTGCTGTGGCTTCCATTTATAACACTCTGAATCAATTTGATTTGTTTTATTATTTGCAGATTACTGATCCCAATAACAACAGATATGAAGTTCCCCATCAGTATGTAAAAGATTTTTCTGGAACTGCACCTTCTGAAACACTGTATGAGGTCCAGACTACAGACAACCCATTCAGCATCAAAGTTATCAGAAAAACCAACAACAAGGTTTTGTAAGTCTCAATTTACCAAAAAGAAAATGACATTTGTATTAAGTAACTGGTTGACTTTATACTATTGTTTGAGAATAATATCAAGATATTTGTCCCAAAGAATAAATTTCTGACCCGCAAATGAATGGCTTTAGAATTGTTCAAATATTAGGTTGAGAAAAGGGGGTTTGTTTTGTGTGGCTAAAATGTGCTAAAGCACCAGAGAAACTCCAACCATGTTGCAGAGTCAAGGTGGTGGGAATCTTGCCTATTCTTTGGTATATGTAGAACATGCTGTGTATTACCCTCATTATTTACCAAATTCTGCAGCCAATTTGCAGGATGAAATGGTTAACAAGTAAGGTATTAGTGATTACAGCGATCTTACAGGAGTTTTCATATGCGTAATAAATCCTAGTTAAATTCACCACATTTAGTATGGATTGCTTAGGGTGAAGGTAATTGGTGCCAAAATGTTAGAAATGTCCCATAAAAAATTCCCTATACAATAGAACAATAATCTTGCATTCTCTCAAATATTACTTAACCAATGGTCAAAACAGTATCTGAAACTGCTTTGGCTACAAACATTCTAGTGCTTTTGCAGTTGGCTTTGTGATAAATCATAAGAAGTATTGAATTTTAAGTGAAATAGACAGATTAATGATACTCAGTATTACTTGTATGTGGAATCCAAATAAGCTGAAATCAGAGGAGCAGAGCATAGAATGTAGCTGAGGGAGATGAGAAGAGAATAGTGAGTGTTTTTTTTTTTCTGGTGAGGATTTAGAAAGAAAGACTTTTCAACATCTACTACATGATAGTTCAAACTTAGTTAATAAACTTCTATTATTATTATTATTAGTAGTAGTAGTAGTATAGTATTAGTGTTCCTTTTTTCTGGTCCTGAATATTGAACTTAGAAACTTGTGCTATACAATTTCAGCCATGTCTCAGCCCCTTTTTTTTGCCCTGGTTATTTTCAAGGTCAGATCTTACTTTATGCCTGGGCTGGACAGTCTTCTTACCTGTGCTTCTCTGTGTCTTGGATGACTGTTTTGTGCCATGCTACCTTTCTATTACACCCAGACACTGCTTGACATGAGCGTGTGACCTGTCCACCGCCCTCCATCTACAATCCTCTGCTCTTGGCCTCTCTATTAACTGGAATTCCAGGCTTGATTGAACCACCACCACCTTGCTTTACTTTAATTAATATTTTAATATATTTCAAAAATAGCTAAGAATAACTATTTAGACCAAAAGTGTATAAAACTTATAAATATGCGTGGTTACGGGTATGATAAATTGATTACTCAACAATATATCAAAATGTTTAATTATACTCCATTCATGTGTATGTTCATAGCTTGCTAATTAAAATTTAAACTATTAAGGGCTAGTTAACCATTTTTGGTAGTATAGATTTGGTGGGTCTACAACATGCAAACTTTTTCCTCTTTTGAGGAAAATAATTTGAGGTTAATTGTAACATAAATGTCAGATGTGGAGAAGCCAGGACAATACTTTATCATAAAACCATGTTATAAAACTCAGTCCCTGCAGCTAGACAAGGCCATGTTACTATGTTCTCAGATACTTGAGTTGATTTTCCCCAGTTGGTGACAGTTGTGGTGTGGGATGGGCAGGCTCGTCTTTCCTTAGTGTTGAAGTGAGTACTGAATAAGAGAAAGCATGAAATGATAGAGAGGCTGTGTGGACACAACAAGCAATTGCTGATCCTGTGGTGATTTTTATTTCTAAAAGTGAGTGACCTCTGAGCCTGGGAATGTGGCTTAGTGGTAGAGCGCTTGCCTAGCATACATGAGGCCCTGGGTTCAATTCCTCAGTACCACATAAGCAATATATATATAAATATATATTATATTTTAAAAATAAAAATAAAGAATATGGGTTGAGCATTTAGCTCAGTGGAAGATTACTTGCATGGGAAAAGCAATGGCCTGAGTTCCGGCCTCAGGTCTGGAAAAAAAAAAATAGTGACTGCCCTCATTCAAATGAGATGTTCTGGGTGATGTTTACACATAACGATACATGATAAAAATACTTCACATATCATTCTGGATTGTGTCTTTCTTTCCTTCACGGTTCAGATTCGATACGAGTGTTGGCCCTCTGATTTACTCCGACCAGTACTTACAGATTTCCACAAAACTTCCCAGTGAATACATGTACGGTCTCGGGGAACACATTCATCAGAGATTCCGTCATGATGTGAACTGGAGAACATGGCCAATCTTTACTCGAGATGAAATTCCTGGAAAAGTAAGAAATCATCTTTCTTGTTTTAAATTAAATCAATATGTTGGAACAGATGCTACTTGAAGCTTATTTGACTTTGTGTGTGTGTGTGTATATATTGGGTATGTTTGCAGATGTATGTAATGACATATGTATCATATTTGTATGCATGTGTGCTTAGTTGTAGTGGGGCGAGAACTCAGGGTGTTATACCTTGCTCGGCTTTTCTCACACATAACTGTCACCCTACCATTTGAGCCATACCTCCAGTCGAGTTTCTGGTGGGTTCTTTGGAGATAAAAGTCTAATAGACCTTTCTGCTTGAGCTGGCTTTGAACCACTCTTCTCAGTTACCTGACTCTTGAGTAGCTACGATTCAATTACAAGAATGAGCAACCAACTTTGGGTGCATTTGACATTTCCAAGTTAAGTTATTGGTACAGTTACTCATTGATAGGTAATCCAAAATCTTGCTCAATTTATTGAGGACTAAATTCTAAATCCTAAATTAATTCTGTAACTAACAGAGTTTATGAAGGCTTGAGCAATGAACTTCTGGATTATCGATGATTTCTTTGACTTTCATTGTTATAGTTTATTTTTCTATTCCATTGCATTTATATTTTACATGTGTAGGTCCTGATGTTTGGAATTATTCTAGTTGAATGGTTAATTCATATTTCCAAATTTGTTTTTCGTGTCTTTACACAATGTCTTCCTATCTTTCATACAACATCGCAAAAAGAGTGTGGTTAGAAATGATATGCAAATGTTTACAGCATAGAATTCCTTCATGTATTTGTCTCTTCTAGAATATGAGATTCTATGGGATAATGAATATACCATTAAATTCATGCTTATTAACCGTTATGACATTTAATTGCCAGTGCTATTTTCTTCTTCCAAGTGAATAATGTTCATTTTGAGAAGCTTCACTTGGTAGAGAACCAGGAGTAAGTTCTACCAATGTCCATTACATTTTTGCTGTCTGCAAATAAGAACTTTGGTTGGTCCTGGGGTTTGATCTCTAGTGCCAAGTACTGCGCTTCTTTTGCTCATGGCTAGCGTTCTACCCCTTGAGCCACAGCTTCACTTCTTGTTTGTTCTGAGTAGTTTATTGGAGATAAGAGTCTCACAGACTTTCCTGCCTCAGTTGGCTCTGACTCACAATCCTCAGTTCTCAGCCTCTTGAGTGGCTAGGATGACAGGTGTCAGCCACCAGTGCCAGCTTCATCTTCATTTCTTTTTTAATTTTTAAAATTTTATTGTCAAGGTGATGTAAGAAGGGCACAGTTACATAAGTAAGGTAATGAGCACATTTGTTGTCTAAGTTGTTACTTCTTCCCTCATTTTTCTCCCTCTTTCCCACCCCCTAACTCCTTCTCTCAGGTTGTACAGATTATTTACAACATATTGTCTTGTGAATATCGCTGTTACATTGGTTCCCTCCCCCCTTGACCTTTGCCTCACCATTTTGTTGTTCCCTTTCCCTTCCCTAGTTTAGATATACGTATATATAATACCCAGGGTACAAAAATCAAATGCAGTGAAAACAGGGGATAAACCATAGGGGAAAAACACAAAAGAAATAAGAAATCATGTAGTATATTGAGAACAACAACAACAAAGAAAAACCTCTGATGTCCATGTGTTGGAGTTCATTTTGCTTAGCATCAGGCATGCCTTGCTATGTCGATATTCATATTTAAAAATTTCTACAGTCAGTTAGACATCAGTTTCCTGTCAACATTTCAGTGCTTTCAGACTTCCCATCTACTCTCAATAAATACACTGAGGAAGTTTTATGAAGTTAGCTATCTGAATGTGGATAATGGGTAAATTAGAAATAGCTTACACTCCCTTAATTATAACAAAGTGTAAAGAAGAGAAAGCAGTCTAATAATAATATATTTTATATTATCTTATATACTAAATTCTTTCATGTAAAATGTTAAGTAAAATAAGTTACATAATTCTGTGCTATAATAGTTGGTTTGGGATCGAGAGGGAAGAAAACAAATATTGTAGGTGGCTCACTTACAGAAACAAGTAAGTTTCCAAGCACTCTTTTAACATAGATACCCTTTACTTAGAACTTTAATTAGCATTTTTGCCTTATAGAACAACCACAACTTATATGGCCATCAGACATTCTTCATGTGTATGGAAGACACAACTGGAAAAGCATTTGGGGTGTTTTTAATGAACAGCAATGCAATGGGTAGGTTTCCTTCATCTAATGGTCCAAGTAGATTTGCTATGTGACAACCACAGATTTTAGGTGATCCCATAAGCTCTGTATGTGATTTTGCAAGTGAAATATTTAGAAATGGGGTTTGAAATTAGCGATGCAATACTTTTATCTATCCATGTTTCTATGATGTGGAAAATTTACATGTTTTGATGTACATATGGGTGCTTCCCTTTACAGCAGGATGAAAGTATAGTCATTCATACACTCCATTTATCAAGATGAATTAATGTATTTACTCTCTAGAACAAAGACAAATAATATCTCCATGAGGGCATATGGTGGTAAATATACCAAAAAAATAGCCTTGGTTGTGACTCATGCTTGTAATCCTAGCTACTCAGAGTCTGAGATCTTGGCCTTTGGTTTGAGCCAGTGTAGCCAAAAAATTGAATGAGACTTTATCTCCCATAAACCACCCAAAAGCTAAAAGTAGAATTGTGGTTCAAGGGATAGAGAAGTAGCCTTGAACAAAAGAGCTCAGAGACAGTGCCCAAGCTCTGAGTTCAAGCACCAGGACTGGCACAAAGAAAAAGAAGGAAGAAAAACATTCTAGTTTACTATAAATCAAACTATATAGGCTTTTCCTTTAATTATATATATTTATATATTTATTATATATATATATATATGATAATAGGTGAGTCAGTGATAACAAAAAGTGACCAAATTGAATGTCTCAGAAAGATTGATATTTTATATGAATATCAAATTACATAAAAATATTAAACTGAAAACCCATTTGTTTTCCTTTTTTGCTTAAGAATTAATATGTGGTAACATGACCCTCCATAGAGTCTTAGTTGACATACGAATTGATATACCATTATGGGAATAAATCTTTTGGTTGTTAGAGGTTCATTCTCCATCTCTTGGCTATGCAATCCCCAGGGGAGTTTTGAGTTCTTCTAATAGAAGCCTCACATATGTGGTATTCTATTTTTCATCCATGTTATTGCTACAGGCAGTATATTCTTTCTTTTTTTTGTTGTTGTTGGTCGCGGGACTTTGAACTCTGGGCCTGGGTGTTGTCCCACAGCTCTTCAGCTCAAGGCTAGCACTCTACCACTTGAGCCATGGTGCTACTTTCAGTTTTCTAGTGGTTTATTGGAGATAAGAGTCTCATGGACTTTTCCTGCCTAGGCTGGCTTTGAACTGTGATCCTCAGATCTAAGCCTCTTGAGTAGCTAGGATTACAGGCATGATCCACTGGCACCTGACAATATATTATTTCTAAATAATCGGTTAAAATAGTGTGGAATCATATGTTCAGAGCAAAGTTTTATTCAAGTGTGAAGTTGTTTTCCATATATATATATATATATATATATATATATATATATATTTCCAATTTTTGTTTTTCAGAGGTATTAATCCAACCCACTCCAATAGTAACTTACAAAATCATTGGTGGTATTCTGGACTTTTATATATTTCTTGGAGATACACCAGAACAAGTTGTACAACAGTATCAAGAGGTGTGTGTTCTAAGCTTATTTAATAATACCATGATATGCAGTATTGTTTTATTATCTAACAATTTCACACAGTAAAGCAATCCGTCACATGTTTCTAGCCTTCTAGGCCAGTCAGCAGATTTATATCTTACATTTTTAAAAAGACATAAGCATGTAGTTTTTTAAACTCTTTCTCCTATGTAATGAAACCTATATATTTTTCCAGTTTTAATTTTTAAGTAGTTGTACACAGGAGTTTTAATTCAATATGTCAGTTTCTCAGTATGGCTCTCCATCTTTCATTTCAAAGTGATTTTTACTTTCAAACAGCTAACTTCAGAAGTTAGAGTTCTTTGATAGGTTGCATATTATACCTTTGTTTTTCCCAACATGTTTCAGTAGAATAAAGCAGTAGGTTATGTCTGATTTTTGTACACTGCAAATAGACCTATTCTCAGTGTCTATTTGAGGATAATTTAGATCAAAATAAGAGGTTGTTGGTAGTAGAGAGCTTTCTCTTTACTATTTTTTGACTTTTTTATTCTCTTCTTTAACTTTTTGTGATAGAAAGTATCATGAAAAATGCTACTTTCCTGAGTGTTTCAATTTAGAATTTAAAACACAAAATAAACAGAAGATGAGGGACAGCACATAAACTTTCTGAGAGTTTCATAAAAAATTAATCCTTACAGGATAAGCAAGGAAAATCTCAGAAGGCAAGTCATTTAAAATTTTCCTTACAAGATGTAGTTAAATGGGCTCCAGAGATATGGCAGACTAAAAAGCCTGTTGATATTATGTCTACTGCTGACTTTAGTTTTCTCTGTTGTAACTAATTAAACATGCATCATTTATCCTCAAGTTCATAGGTCGGCCTGCCATGCCCGCCTACTGGAGTCTTGGATTCCAGTTGAGTCGCTGGAATTACAAGTCTTTGGATGTAGTGAAGGAAGTAGTAAGAAGAAACAGGGAAGCTGGCATTCCATATGTAAGTAGCAGGAAGGCTTGGTAGAAAGATAAATCTGAGGTTAAACACTGTAACATAATAGCAAATGGACTGCATTCTGAGGAGTATTTATGATGGTTCAGCTTCGATGTAATGGGGAGGTGTATTCTATATCCATTCCCAGTGTTGATTCAGGCATGACCGTTACATGTACTTTGAAGAGTTATCCTAGAAATGGATATATATTCAATATATTTCATACATGATATACATTTATATAGCATATATATGTATCATATACAAATATATCACATATATTTATACATTGTATATAATAATCTCTTAGGTATTATATATTCCTAAATATTCATATATATTTATATACATATATTCATACATTTGTGAGGCAAAATTACATTCAGTTTAAAAAAATGAGTTCCAAATATTCTATTTTTTTCAGAATTCTGTAGTTCCTGTTTCCTATGCAATGAAATTTATGAATATATATGTGTGCATATATGTATACATATGTATACATATGCTCATATATGTTTATAAGGGCTATCTGTAGTCACTAGTAAAAGAATCATTTTTTTCTTTACTGCTTTTATGCTTCAGAATGATCAAAACCTGGATTGAGGTTGTGGCTCAATGGGTAGAGCTTTGCCAAGTATTTTTAGACTTTGAGTTCAATTTTCGGCATTGATGTTATGGGGAAAATTAAAACAACTAATAATAGAATAAAATTAGAATAACTAAAAATTACAATAACTAAATTAAGTCAGAATAACTAAAATTTAGAATAACTACAATTAGAATAACTGACATTATTGCTTCTTTTATGAAATTAAAGTGTTATTACTTTACTTACTTTTTTGTTTTTTTCTTTGGATTTTGGCAGAGCAGATCCATTTTTGTTTTGTTTTGTTTTGAGGACATGGTACCACTGCCCACCTTAGAACTCAAGGTCCTCTTGCCTTAGTTTTGTTATGTATATGGTGGTGGTGTTAGGCTTGAACTCTAACTCGAACTCAGCTCCTCCCTTGACTCTTTTACTCAGGATTCTTGCTGTAGCACTAAATCCACACCTCCAGCTTTAACTTTTTGCTGGTCAACTGGAAATAAAGTCTCTTGGATTTTTCTACCTGGGTTGATTTTGAACCATAAATCTCCAATCTCCCCTTCTGCAGTAGTTAGGATGAAAACTATGAACCATTGGCTCCCAAATTAAGTTTTAAATTTTCTTCCAATCATTACATTTACAGTAGAAACTCATTTTAGTTAAAAACAGAAAGAAAATGCTTTGATTCCTTATGGGAATATGTTGTGGTCATTTTCAGGACACACAAGTCACTGACATTGACTATATGGAAGACAAGAAGGACTTCACATACGATGAAGTTACATTTAAAGGGCTCCCCGAGTTTGCTGAAGATTTGCATGCCCATGGACAAAAATACGTTATCATCTTGGTAATGATGAATCATGTGTTAAATATGTTCAACATTCGTGAATTTTGGAAGTAATGGGTGGTTCATCGTTTCTTTTTCTCTGTTTGTAGGACCCTGCAATTTCTATAAATAAGCGTGCCAATGGAGCCTCATATGAGTCCTATGATAGAGGAAATGCAAAACACGTGTGGGTAAATGAGTCCGATGGGGTAACACCACTTATTGGAGAGGTAAATTCTGATACTTATTTAAAATTGTGCAGCTCATTTTTTTTTTACTCTGCACCAACAAACCTTTGGGAAGTATGTTCGTAAGAGTGTATCTGTGTTTCTTTCAGCCTTAGATTTAATATTTGAAGTTTAGATAAGCATTATTTAATTCCTTTAGTTATGCAGAAAAGCAAACAGGCACATCATTTGACAATGTATAAAATAAATGAAAGCTGATAAGTTATGATACATAATTTATAATCTCACAAACATTCTGAGAGATCTAGGCAGACATTCAATGCTAAATATTTGCCAATGTAAATTGAGTATCTATATGTTAGGCACCGAGTTTCAATAGTTACACTTAGAATGGATAATGAAATTAAATAATGAAATTTAAATATTGATAGTTAATATTAAAATTCCTTGTAAAAAGTACTGAAATACAGAGCAGTGAGCTGTTTCCTTACTTATTGCTTGGTAGGTTTCCTGAGATTATAGAGAAAATAAGAAAGAATGTGAGGAGTATTGACCTCTCCAGTGTATATTTTTAATTAGAATAATTATTCTACTGGTGGTAACTTTGTAAGATATATCAAAGACAAAAGTAATATATAAGCACCTTTGAGGTACTAATTCCACTTCTGTGATTTAATAAAAATGGCTAGAGCCAGGCGCCAGTGGCTCATGCCTATAATCCTAGCTACTTAGGAGGTTGAGATCTGGGGATCACGATTCAAAGCCAACCATGGCAGAAAAGTCAGTGAGACTCTGATCTCCAATAAACCACTAGAAAACCAGAAGTGGCGCTGTACCTCAAGTGGTAGAGTGCTAACCTTGAGTTGAAGAGTGTAGGGACAAGACCCACGCGGACAACACCCTGGCCCAGAGTTCAAGCCCCACAACCGACAAAAAAAAAAGGCTAGACTAGGAAAAGAAAATATCTATTTTAAACTACATATTTAGGGGTTGGGTGACTCATGCTTGTAATCACAGTGACTCAAGAGGCTAAGATCTAGAGAATATCTGAGACCAGTATAGTCAGAAAGCTTAGTGAGATTCCTGTAAAATTACATGAAAAAAGCATGGAGGTGTGGTTCAAGAGGTAGAGCACCAGCTGCATTGGCAGGAAAGCAAGCAAGCAAAGAAAGTGCAAGTGTGTACCTTTTCCTATCTGTAGGGTAGAATCAATTTTGGTACCTCCATTGTATATAAAAAATGACAAATATTTCTCATCTCTTGAATTGCTAATGAAAATTGTTAATGATCATAAAAATGCTTCAATGAGTGCTAATACATATGAAGTATTATGGCCATGTTCACTGACAAGACAGAAAAGAAAATGAGTATTTTTCCTTGAATTTTTGGAGGCAATGCCTTCAGAAATGAATTAATATTGCTTTATATTATTCTGAATAAATGTGCACTTCACTTTAAAAGGACAATATCATAACTTTAATGTTTTTTGAGCTCCTCTACCTTAATATTTTATTTAATCTATGTATACATGTGATTAATCCTCTCATCCAGGTATGGCCAGGATTAACAGTATACCCAGATTTCACCAATCCAGACTGCGTTGATTGGTGGGTAAATGAGTGCAATGAATTCTATAAACAAGTGAAATATGACGGACTTTGGATTGTAAGTAGCTATTTTATCTTTAATTTTTAATATTATCTTAAAGTAATTGTACCAAGGGCTTTCAATTCAATGTATCAGTCATTTTTAATACAGTACATCTTAATCAATGTCAACTCTGTAAGTAGCTATCTCATTGGATAATGAAAACAGAATGGCTTATTCATCGAAGCATTGAACATGTGTACTTTCCAAATACATGCAACATATAATTTCAAGCTCTTGGGTTGGTTTTCTAGAATACATACAAGAAATACTGTGACAGGCAAGGGATAGAAAGGGAAAAAGACAAAATATTTAAAATATTTTTTCCTCTCTAGTAATATATTTCTTGGTACAGATTTTACTTTTGTAAGTAACATGGAAAATTTTCAAGATTAGAGACTTCTATGAAAGAACAGTTAATGGGATTTGGGGACAAGACTATGGAAGTGCGATTCCAAGAAAACCTTTATGAGAGTCTACGTTAGCAAAACAAAATGTCAACACCTGTGGAGGTCACCTCATTTAAGAAATGTACTTTTGCTGCCTCCAGTGGTAATTCTAGCTACTTAGGAGGCTGAGATCTGAGGATCGTGGTTTGAAGTCAGTTGGGGCAGAAAAATCCCCATGAGACTCATATCTCCAATGAACCCCTCAAAAACCAGAAGTGCCAATGTGGCTGAAAGTGGTAGAGCACTGAGTTCAAGCCTTGCAACTGACAGAGAGGAAGAAAGAATGAAAGAACAAAAGAAAAGAAGGAAGGAAGGAAGGAAGGAAAGAAGGAAGGAAGGAAGATACTTTTGAGTAGTCTGTGGAATAGAACAAATCATGATTGACATTTGCTTGTATTTTATCTAAAAAAATAATAAACGTGACTAACAAAACCCTGGACTGTTTAAACAATTGCTAAAATGAAAGAAGTTTCTCTGGATGAATGTTTATGTCTAGAACGAATGATAGCTAGTTTCTAGGTTTTTGGAACAAAACTTAGTGAACGATGGGGAAAAATTTACTGCCCCTGGTTATGGTGATTATGACCCTAAAATCTGAGTAAGTTTAGAAAAAATAATATTGAAAACAGAGTGAAAATCAGGATTAAAAAAATATAACCTAGCTGAATTCTATTTGACTGGTTAGGTTCATATTATTTCTTTGTTTTAAAGTGGTCATCACTTTTAATATTAATTAATTTATGAAATTAATATACAATTTAATACTTATTATTGTACCATCTGTAATATACAAATATTGGAAAGTGATACATTTTGATAAAAATGAGTAAAATGATAGCAGTGCTTTCAGGAATTCTATGGAGGTATCAATAAGATAAAGATGGAAATTCTTTAGTTTTCTTTTAATTTAAAATAGGGGCGATCACATGCACACAGGAAAAAGCAGTAAAAATGTACAGTAATTTTAAACTTTACTTTCATTCTTGCTCTTAAATTATTGCTTTAATTAAATTTTATGTAAACTTTGTTTTTGATGGGAAACTCAAGTGCAGTAGAACAGAGCAATAGATATAAATGTCAAAGAAATAACCCAAAGACTCTTTAATTATTCTTGAACTTTAAAACAAGTGTGAGTTTCCTCATGCTTAACTATTTAGAACAGAATTGGGAGATATTTACCTTTAGCATCACTTTGAGAAATCTCCCTTGAGCACCTCACTTAATTCCCTATGATGTTTCTTTTGAGTCTGTTGCTTTCTACAGTTTGCATATTCATATGAATAATTCAGAGATCCTTAGTAGAGATGTGCAATCTTACTCATGTACCACGTTCAAAAGCAAGTGATATTTAAGGGAGACTCCAAAATCCTGAGTAATGCTTTTGTAAAGTAATTAATAATAATAATAAAATAATAATAATAATGTTTAATCAAGACATTTATTTATATACTTCGGGGAAAATATCTTTAAGACAATTTTCACAGTGGCTCTGTCATTCCCTTAGAAAAGAGATGTCAAATCAATCAATGTTGACTGCTTTAGAGTACTTAGGAAACAAAAAAGGAGGAATCAAGCAAAGACAATACGGAAATGATGGCATTAAGGAGATCTCTGAAAGCTGGAGTCCCTGAGGGGAATATGACCCACGAAGATGAATGCTCTTGGTCTTAAAATGTGTCCATGACATAGGTGGGAGAAGAGAAAAGACATAAAATATACTTTTGAGATTACAATAATAGCTAACACAAGACAGATTTGTCACTGCTGTTTTTACTTAGAGCACAGAGACAATTTAGTAGAGATGTGGGAAATAACATTTCATTATTTCTGGAAATCCTACAAAGTAGTTAGCAGAGTAGATAATAAGCACAAGGCTTCTGTTAACTGGTTATACTTCTATTGCTAGTATGTAGAGAAAAGATCGAGGCTTTGTCAAAAAAAATAGAAAAAATCGGTGAATCCAATGCCCAACTGCTCTGTCTCCACAGATGGCTGCTGACGATTCTCAGAATGTGATTAAGCTCACCTGGCATTACTTACACCCATGGGGGATTACTATTTTAATTAAAATATTAAATGGCGGTCTGCCCCAGCTTTCCTTGTCTTCTGAGATTTTAGGAGATGTAGGTTATTAAAATACTCTGGTATAAGATGCCTAGTGCATCTCTGGAAAAAGATAAATGGCAGCCACAGCAGAACAAGCTGAAGGAACAGATGTGGAAGATAGATCCACAGTGACATGAACAATTGAAATGAGCAAAATGAAATGCATTTTTGGTGTTTAAAAATCTGGTTTTGGTTTGCAGCTTATATTCTTGTAGAAGAAAAAATTGCTTTTATAAAATATTCTTAGACAACAATGTGATTTATCTTTATACTTTACAATTATTTAATAATCTGTTTCTTTTCCTTTTATGTACATTAGGACATGAATGAAGTTTCCAGTTTTATTCAAGGTTCACTGAAAGGTTGTGGTGACAACAAATGGAATTATCCACCTTTTATTCCTGGTAAATCTTATTTTCTTATCTATTTTACTCAGAATTGAAGATGGTGTCATGTTAACTTTTAAATTATAATATATATATATATTTCTAAATTAAAACCATCCGTGTAATTTCTTAAAATATTTTTCTTTTACCTAAAATATTTGCTAAGATTATCTTTCAATAATATACAGCCAGGTGCCAGTAACTCACGCCTGTAATCTTACCTACTCAGGAGGCTGAGATCTGAGGTTCTAAGTTCAAAGCTATCCCAGGCAGAAAAGTCCGTGAAACTCTTATTTCCAGAAAAGCGGAAGTAGTGCTGTGGCTCAAGTGGTAGAGCACTAGCCTTGAGCTGAAGAGATGAGTGACAGCGCCCAGACAGACCCAGAGTTCAAGCCTCACATATGACAGAAAGAAAGAAAGAAAGAGAGAGAGAGAGAGAGAGAGGGAGGGAGGGAGGGAGGGAGGGAGGGAGGGAGGGAGGAAAGAAGGAAGGAAGGAAGGAAGGAAGGAAGGAAGGAAGGAAGGAAGGAAGGAAGGAAATAAAGCTTCACAATGTTTCTATTGGCAAAATATAGACATATGCATGTATTTTATATGCCTGCTAAATAATATTTTCCCATGCATTTTAATTATTAAAATTTGGAACTATAACTAGTACTTAATAATATAATGGAAAAGCGATTTACTAGCATCATTTAGTTATAGAAGGGGTGTCCACTTTGACATGTCCTTATATATGCATACAATGTACTTTATAAAGATTCTTTTCCTTCACCCCCTGCCTGTCCCCCATTCCTTTTTCCAAAACTAATTTCATCAAGATTCTTTGTTCAGTGTCCACATATGTATATAAAGTGTTCTGATTATATTTCTCTTCCTCTACCTCTCAGCTCTCCATCCCCCTCTCAATTTTACCTATATGTCAGCAGGACATGGTTTACCTTCTTAATATTGATTTATTTTGTGCTAGTCCTGGGGTTTGAGCTCAGGGCTTGGGCTCTGTCTCTGAATGTCTTGCCCAAGGCTCGTGCTCTACCATTTGAGGATCAGCTCCACTTCTGTTTTTTTGGTGGCAAATTGGAAGTAAGAGTTTTACAGTCCTCTCTGGTCTGGCTTAAAACCTTGATCTTCAGATCTCAGCCTCTTGAGTAGCTGGCTCAATACTCCTTTTTAAAAGTCAGTGTAAATTGTTCAAAAAGAGACTTCACCATGGTATTTCACACGTGCATTTGCTTCATTTAATCAAGCTGACTATTTGCCTCTTCTTGTGAATCATTTCTCCGGTCATGATGACATGAGATAAAGTGATACTTACTTCTGTATCATTTTAACTATTTGTATTTTTCATTACCCTTTGATGAGGCACAATATCACATAGTACATTTTTTTTAAAAAAAGCAATGTGAAGACTGAAAAGGCTGAGTGTAAAGAATTCTACCAAATGTCTTCTTTCTAAGGTATTCTTGACAGACTCATGTATTCCAAGACCCTTTGCATGGATGCAGTGCAGAACTGGGGGACGCAGTACAACGTGCACAGCCTCTATGGGTACAGCATGTCCATTGCCACTGAGAAGTGAGTACGGTTCAGTGCAGAGGCCCGTGTACAGTCATCATCTAGAGTAGATTAGGATGACCCATTCCTAGAGCTGGAAAACAGCAAAGCAAATGTGATGGCTTTCCAAATGTGAGTAAGATCTATGAATTCTGAATTCAGTTATCCAGAGTTACATGGTATGTGTAGTTCTTGCATATATGTGTGTGCATATATAATATATACATGTGTATGTGTGTGCATGTGTGATATATACATTTGTATATACATATATGTGTATTAAGTGCATTTTCAAATTACTGGAATTTTATAATACCACGAGCTACCTGTATATAAAAAGGAATACAGAAAAAAGAGGAGTATCCTAGATTAAATGAATGTTATTTATCCTCATTTTCTTAGTTTGCATAGTGTAATAGTTAAAAAAAATCCAGATCTCAATGTATTAATATTTTCTGATAATTAAAAACTACTCATTACTTGGCCACATGCTTTTCTGGTGCTAACCTGATCAACATTCATTATACTTATAAATTAACATGCTGCATTAACTTCCTCCACTTTTCATACAATGGCTTAAAGATATTTATATAAAAATACACCATGAAATCAAAACATCTTGTACCTTGTCTTTCTCGTGTTATTTTTTCTTAAAAAAATAAAAGCAGAGATTTACTTCAAATATATTGCATTTTTAGAAAAGTTAAACAAGTATATATATTTCAATGTGATGCAGATTGTAAAATGTAGAAGCCATTTGTACATACATACTGTCATAGCAGATATTTAGTGAGATAATCGGATTGGTGTTAAATACTGAAATAAATTTTATATCTAATCCTAATTTCTTTCTCATCATGGAAAATTATTAAGAGTCAGGTTGCAGTAGTGATCAGATGAGAGATGCTAGGTCATTTGGATAGTAAAAATGATTAAAATGCTTTAAGAACATGCCAGATTTTTTATCCTTGCTTGCAAATATTTGTAAACAGAAGTTAAGCTATGTTTTGCATGTGCACCACATAAACCTACTGGGTTTAAATACATATGATAAATTATACATATGTAGAATGATTTAGTACATTTATAGCATGTGTTTCCATGCACATATTGAGTAAATAGTGTGTTGCTTTCAAATTGACAGAAGATGAGTGAAAGTTTTCTATGTTATTTATCTTGATTGATCAGTATGTATTGAAAAAAGTCAGTATAGGATTTTTTTTGTTTTTGTTTTTGTTTTAGCTTTTACGTCAGCTTTATTCTCAGAGCCAACCTGTATGAGTTAACAAATCTCTACATTGCCAACTACTGTGGGAATCATATTCCTTCTTGCATGCACCCAAACATCATACTCAACAATGTGTTCTGACATGCAAAAGAAGATTTACTATTTGCACCTGTCTGAGCATAGGTAGTTAAGAAAGGAAGAAAAAAGTAAAATTCCGACCAAAGTTATACATGATGTGATTGTCTCTAGGAACAGTGAATGACCATTTGAAATGAGAACATTTAAATAAATGAGTGTCTAATTCTTTGCTACCTTGGTCTCTCTTTTAGAGCTATAGCAAAGGTATTTCCGAATAAAAGAGGCTTCATTCTCACCCGCTCCACGTTTGCGGGCACTGGGCGGTATGCTGCACATTGGCTGGGCGACAACACCGCCTCCTGGGAGCAGATGGAATGGTCCATCACTGGCATGCTGGAGTTCGGTTTGTTCGGAATGCCTCTGGTAAGATGATCCTTCTCACAGGAGCGTATGCAAGACCATGTATGCGTTCTCCTTCATACCCAGGCTCCAAACCTCAAGCCTAGCAAGAGCACCAAATTGCATTCTGTTTGCTTTCTTTTTTATGCTATTTATTTAGGGTTTTTTTTTGGGGGGGGGAGTGAAAGGGATCAAGCCAGAGCCTTATGCATTGAATTGTCAGTATCATATTTATGATATTTATTTAAAAGGATTCAACAGCACACGATCAAAGAAACCGTCAAACCGTGTCCTTAATGAATATATGAGATAAATAACAATGTTGATGCTATTTCTGACATTTGAGTGACTAAGTGAAATTATAATCCAATGCAACCAGCCTAAACAAGGGATTATTATGTAGAAAGAATATAAAAAATAATGTTTACATGAGAAAAATAAAGCACGATAAGACTACACTGATAACAATGTAAATGTCAAAACTAAATATACATAAGATGCTCTATTATCAGATTAGTGTAAGTGAATAATGCTATGTGTATTTTAGAACAAGATACAAAACAATGATAGAAGCTGGTTGCCAGTGACTCGCACTTGTAATAGGGAAGGCTGAGATCTTTCAAAGAGCATCCTAGCAGGAAAGTCTATGAGAGACTCTTATCTCCAATTAATCACAAGAAACAGAAATGTGTGAAATGGAGATGTGGCTAAAGTAGTGAAGTGCTAGCACAAAAGGTCAGGGACAGTACTCAGGCCACCATGCAAGTCCCAGGGTCCTGCACAAACACACACACACACACACACACACACACAAACACAAATGATGGAACAATATTTGAAATTTCAAAGTAGACAAGATTTTAATAACATGAAATATTAAACATGACATTTAAAAATCAATTTTAAAAGTGAATCATACCCTGTTGATATTCAAGACTACAGAAAGCCATTACGTAAGACATATGTATAAAGTATATTAGGAAAATTATACCAATTCACTTATTCTCCTATGTAAATAAATGTAAAGTACACCATATGACATACAAACTAAACAAAAGTAACTGGTGAATACACCTTGTATTTGGAACTTTAAAAGACATTGTCACATCATATATGAGTAATAAATAAACTCTATAGCAATAATAAAAATAACCTTATGTTATTTTATTGTCATGTTAGTACTTTTCTTTGGTTCTGTGGTTTGTTGTATTAGTATTTAAAGGAGACTAATAAAATAAAATTAATAAAACAAAAAAGTAAGCAAAACAGAAACAAAATCTCTAAGACATACTGAATTTCATCAACTGAGGAGCATTAAAAAGTAAAACACATGTTAAATTATATCTTGTTATAGATGAATACATAGATATAAAGAAACAAAGAAATACTGTTAATCATAAATACTAAATTTAAGATAGTACTTTCTGGTATCTGGGAGTATCTATTGGGTGAAAATCAATTTACTTTGAATTATTATTTTTTCTTTGTGAGCTACACATAAATACATGGTTATTTGTTCTTACTTTGCTCCCATAATAGTACATCTTTTAATTGGAAAAAATCAAAGAGGGACATTTTGGATTTAAAGGCGAGATACTTCTTTTTTCTTCAGCAAGATTCTTTTAATACAATAATTGCATCTTTACACAAGGATTTTCATTATTATTTTATAAGTGAAAATATGTAAAAATACACACAAATTAAGAAAACATATAAAATGACAAAGAAGGAAAACGCATGGCCATGTGTAACGCTGTCTACATAGATCTCAGTACTAGGGACATAGAGTCAGGAGGATTGTGAATTTGCAGGCCATCCTGGGGTATACTCTGAGACACTGTCTTGAAAAAGATTGTACAAAACAAGGGGAAAAAACACTAGTTTGTGGAGAAATATTGAAAGATGATAAAGCAAATATTTTCCATTTTATAAATCATGTCTATTACATAGGCCAATAGGTCATCACATTGATGCTTTGAATCTGAGCACTGAATCCACGGTGTCTTTGTTATCCAGGTGGGTGCAGACATCTGCGGGTTTATAGCTAACACCACTGAGGAGCTGTGCAGAAGATGGATGCAACTTGGTGCTTTTTATCCATTTTCTAGGAACCATAATGCTGATGGATATGCGGTGAGTGACTCACGTTTCAGGGGGTTTGCAGTGAAGCACTATCAGATCTTAACATCGTACTTTAACATATGTCCACAAGTCATATTATCTGAAAGTTTGTAGCCAAATTTGTAATGCATAGTTAGAAAACCTCTACTTATATACAAAAGAAACAAAAACAATCACATACTACATTACAAACAACAGCAACAAAGAAAATCCTCTGTGTCCATACCTTAAGGTTCATTTCACTTAGCATCATCTTATTTGGTGATATGGATAGATAGATAGATAGATAGATAGATAGATAGATAGATAGATAGATAGATAGATCCATCTTGAGCTTTTCTGCTCATCTGATAAGATGATCCTAGATATATACTAATTATTCCAAATAAGGGAAACCATGGACTTACATTTTACTTATTTCACTTAGTATGATTTTTTTCGTGTTTCCATTTCCTAAAAAATGGGGCGGTGTCATTCTGGGGGCATAGAATTCTGGGATGGGGGGAGGGAGGAAGGGGAGGGAAGGGATAGTAGGAGAAAAACCAAGGAGGAAGTAACAATGCTCAACCAGAAATGTACTCATTACCTTTCTCATGTAACTGTAACCCTTCTGTATAGCATCTGTACTAAAAAATAAAAATTTAAAAATAATAAATAAAAATCCTCCCTTTCATATATAAGAATATATACATATAAGAACATATAATAATATATAGATATATCTAATAACATATCTAAGAATACATATATGCATATATATGTGTGTATATATGTATACATATATGTATTCTTAGCTTCTAATAATGCAAATTCCAGGTAACTTTTCTTTCAGAAAAAGAAAATGTAATATGATATCAAGGCTTTTCCTTGTCTTGTGTAATGAAAGAAAAGCTTCAAATTAAAAACAAAACAAAAAAAACGGCTTTGACTCCACAATCTTTCTATAATAAAACTGGAATCAACAGACCAGTACACAACAAAATGGATGCCCTTAAACCCTAGCTCTGCGCTGGTAAGAAACAGGACACAAGGAAATACAGTTATTCTGCCAGCCCTGAAATCATCCAGTATAAACAACAGCAGGCATATTTCTAAAAGGGAATGGTGATGTCTGACTAGAACTACTTAGTTATTGAGAAGGCTGATCTGGGGATCACAGTTTGAAGTTAGCCCAGACAGGAAATCCATGAAACTCTTATCTCCAATAAAGTACCAAAAAGTTGGAAGTGGAGCTCTAGCTCAAGTAGTGGAACAGGCTACCCTTAAGTTAAAGAAGCTCAGAGACAGTGCGCAGTCCCTGAATTTACATCCCAGGACTGGTACCACAAATATATATATATATATATATATATATATATATATATATATAATAAATGACTTAGTATTCACATACTGGTTGTGAACAAAGCCTCTGTTCTTATGAAGAAGGGCCAGCTGAACAGGTCATACTTTAAGAGAATTGGACAGGACAAAAGTAATACTCCCTTGAGCCATCAAATAAGCATTGTTTATCTATAAAACAACCTGTTACACATGTTACATTGTATTCTGTCTGTGTTTGCTTTCTCCAAAACCTTGACAAGAAGTCAACGAGGGTGGGGATTTCTTGATGAAGATCTTATGAAAAACAAACACACAAAAAAAGAGAGGGCTTGTAGAAGTGTGTGTGTGTGTGTGTGTGTGTGTGTGTGTGTGTGTGTGTGTGTGTACACGTGTTCATCAAATCAAAATTCAGGTCTCTGGCTGGCGAAGCTGACAGGGCAGGGAGAGGTGTGGCAGGGAAAATGACAGCCTGGAGCTCAGATCCAGCAAAGCTTCAGTCTGGGCCATTGCGGGGCTGGGCGGAGCGGGGGGGGGGGGGGGGGGGGGGAGGGCAGTTTTTAAGCGAATGGGGCCACGCTGGGAAAGCCCTGTATCTCCAGAGAAAGTTCTAGACTGTTGTTTTGTTGTGCTTATCCAATGACTGGAAATAGCACCCAGGAAGCAGAGATTCAGGGCAGTAACCAAAGTGGATCTGGAGGCCAATTCATGAGGCCCTCAGGCAATCTCATGACCAACAACAGGAGCGCTAAGCAGAAGAGCCAAGGTGTGGGTGCCTCTACTGGTCTTAAGAGGAGTGAATGCTCCCTCCCTCAGTTCCTCCCCAGCTACCCTCACTGCTCTGCGCTCTGCCGCCCCCCCCCCCAATTCCTGGGTTAGCCCTCTCCCTGGATTTATTTTAGCGGGAATAGAAGGCGCCAGACAGCAGACCTTAGGCTTGGATATTTCAAGCCCTTGCTTGCACAAGTCTTCTTCAGCATATGGAAACCCGGTTCTGGAGGATCCTGGCCCTGCGTCTTCACTGCTAGCTATCACGAAGTTTAACCACCCATGAAACATTACCAAAAAATAATGAAGCCAAGCAAATCATTTTTGTGATTTTCATCTTTCCTACTGGTGTATTTAAATGGGAAGTGCATACTTATGAACGAAAGTAATTAAAACGAGGGTAAATTTTATTCAGATACTTTAAAGGTAAAATGGGGATAGTTTTAAGTTTTATCTACAGAATTTTACACACACACACACACACACACACATGTTTTGTTTTGTTTTTTTAAGGAGAGACTTAACATGTTTTAGTTTTCATTTTCATTTTATTATTTCATATCATTTTATTTTATTTCATGTTATTTTATTTTCCCTTTTTGTCCTCAGGAACAAGATCCTGCAGTTTTTGGAAAAGACTCGCTTCTAGTCAGAACTTCAAGGCACTACCTCAGGATTCGCTACACTCTGCTGCCGTTCCTCTACACTCTCTTTTATAGAGCACATATGTTTGGAGAAACAGTCGCTAGGCCAGTTCTTCATGAGTAAGTACTATGGATAAAATTTCCATATATTTTTCCTTAAAAATTGTTTGATTGTTAAAAAGGTGATATACAGAGGGGTTACAGTTACATAAGTCAGATGATGAGTACAATTCTTTTGGGACATGTCCCTCTCTCTCTCCCAATTTTCCCCTCTCATTCCCACCACCAGTTGTATAGTTCCTTTTCAACATAGTGTCTAGGGAGAAACACTGCTGCATTTGTTCACCCTTTGTCCCTCCATTTGTGTGGCCCATCTTATCCTCACAATGACATAAACAAGCAGAACAAAAAAGGAAAGAAAACCAAGACAGCAAAAAGGAACAAGACTTCTTGTTTCAATGTATTTTTAAAGAACATTCAGAAAGTAATAAACATGAATGGCAATAAATCAAGGTATCAGGTAGATTTAGACTGATTTCTTTAAATGTAAAAATAGAATTAAAATGTATAAAATGATTTATGAAGCATGTGAGAATTGAACACAATTTACAATATGTGTTAGGGAAATTATATCAGTGAGAAAGGGTAAACCTAAGGTTATTAAAAGCCTACAACTATACATTGTAAAATCATGTAAATAGATGGAAATTTAAAGACTAAATGTAAAACCAATAGAGACCAAGAGTGTATAGGAGATAGTTTCAGGAAAAGATGAATTGTCTTTATCTTTGTAAGTATCAGGTTCAAAATTGGGCTCAAGAAATTACTGAAAAAAATACACTTAAAACCATATTAAACTGGACTTTTACAATGAAAAGGTTTAAAAGGAAGGAAGTAGATTTTGAAAAACTTGTGATGTGGAAGTGTTCTACAGGAGAAAAGTAAACATGACGATTGTTAATGAGAGATTACCAGTAGCCATATCATCCATGCAGATAGAGGAGAATTCATGCCCTCCTTTCTCCTTCTTCCCGATCTTCTTCTCCACGTGTCCCTCCTCCTGAATGGACTCTGATGAATCATGACAGGTGTAGGAAGTATTGATTGTAAATGATATGCTAAGTCAAATTAACTCATGGTTTTCTGAAAATATTGAAAAGATAAACCAAATAAGCAATTTGGGTATAGACAGTGTGCATTGTCACATGGTAAATGCTGTTACTTTTGCTAGGTTTTATAATGACATGAACAGCTGGGTTGAGGACCTTGAGTTTCTGTGGGGCCCAGCGTTACTCATTACTCCTGTTTTGAAGCAGGTATGTCTTAGAAATTTACCAAATTTATGTCTTAAAGGGAATTCTATATGCACAAATCCATATTTAATGACAAAGCATTAGATAATACTTAGTGCTAAATGGATCATTTCAAGCAGATGGATGTCTTATTGCTTTGTGACTTACAGAAGACATTAAAATTATTATGAAACTATTCAATAGATCTTGGCTTACGGTTATATAATACAAAGGGGATATATAAATTAGGTTTCTCCGGGGGCTGGGAAGGTGGATCAGTGGTAGAATGCTTGCCTTGCAAGCACCTGGGTTTGATTCCTCAGCACCAAATAAGCAGAAAAACCAGAAGTGGCAATGTGGCTCAAGTGGTCGAGCGCTAGCCTTCAGCTGAAGAGCTGAGGGACAGCGCCCAGGCCCAGCATTCAGGCCCCACAACCAATGGGGGAAAAAAATAGATTTCTCCTAAAACCCATTGTTCATTTAATCAGACTCAAATCCTTTAGTAATGCTAACACTCTCAGTTATATAGACCCAAACATTGAAATTTCGCTAAGTTGTAAATAAAAGAAAACTTGAAAATCAGTCTTCAGAAAATGTTGACAAAATAATGAATTCAATCATGTGGTTCTCATTTTTAACATGTTTTTCAGTCCATGAAGGCAAAGAGAAATGGAGGACAGTTTCAGATTCAAAGAAACCACATAATTCAAAGAAATAATCATAATAATTCATAATTTTAAGAAACCACACAACAATGTGTACACCATCTTAACCACCACTGGAAATGATTTCGGTTTTGCACATTGTGACATAGAAAATCAGTACAATTGATTATATATTGGAAATATTATTATTTATTGGAAATATTGAAGTACAATAACATAGTGAAACTCTCTTCCCTTAATGAATGGGAAATCCAACACACCTTTGACCACATTCTTGCTCTTTGCTTAGGATTGGGTTTTGCTTTTCAATCCTTTTATTATTTTATTTTTTCCTTTTGGTTGTACTAGTGTTTGAACTCGGGGTCTCATGGTTGCTAGGCAGTCACTCTATGAATAGATCCATGCCCCCAAATCAAGGACTGAACATTCTCAGATGTGTATGCATGTTGTCCTGCTTGATTTTAGGGAGCAGAGGTGGTGAGTGCCTACATCCCTGATGCAACCTGGTATGACTACGAAACAGTAAGTACTCTTCCCCGAGCTGTGTCTGGATCATAAGGAAGTCTCAACATCTGTGTGCAGAACGTAACTCCAGATATATAGCACCTCTGTGCCTAGATTAAAAAAAAACTTACAGGAAAGAAGAATAATTCCAAAATGAATACCTGTAAAAAATGTACATAAGCCCACTATTTGCGAAAATGCAGAAGATTTTTAATGTGCCATCACATACTTATTTTATAATGGAATGAAAGGAATATTATAGGAAGGAGTGGTTGATTATTTGAATGTTCCTTCCCTATCTTACATGTCTGTACTGCCTGAAGAATTACTGAAATAGTCATATAGTTGATTTTATGTGGTGCCTCCAAACAATTGTGTAGAATATATTTATTTCTAACTTAGAAAGACATAAATAATTGCTTTCACACATATACTCTATGTTTTTAACTGAGCAAGTCTTCATAAAAATATTTTTCAATTCATCTATTGAGGGGATAAAATAAAATTAAAAAAAATATTTTTCAAGCCATTATTTCATATATTGCTTTTATTTGCTAATCAGGTTATTTTAAAAAATGATTTTATTTTTAAAAAAAAGATCCTTGAAAGATAAACTACCTTGAAATTCAATGTGTATCAGTTTGCTTTTATTTACTTCTTTTTTTTCAATTTCAGTAGATATTCTTTATTCTTTTAACACATTAGCCAACATTCAAACACCATAAATGTTGGGATAGATCAAGTCAAACTACATCAAAGTATTCAAATATGACCTGGCCATTTCTAAGTCTAAAATTGACTTCACACTATTTCATTCTAATAGAAATGAACACATCATGTCATGTAGTATAAATTTCATTTTACTGATTTGTGGAGCACAGCATTACAGCTCAGTGGTCGTCTACTTTGTGCAGGGATGGAGTCAGTTCAATGACCTTTTCAATCTCTACATTATGACTTTGTATTTGGATTGTTGGAGCTCTTCTTGAATTTTCATAAAGTCTGTAATGGGGCAATTGAAAGCTCTTTTCTTCAACTCTAGCCTTCCTTGTTTCATTCTGATGTGTTTTGGTACAGAGAACAGTAAGGAGGATTCTCAAAAGAAATAAAAGTAGATCCAGCAGATAAGTCAGCAATCCCATGTCAGAGTATATGTCCAAAGCAATGATAGAAACGTATCTATGAGATAGATAGTCTGATGCTTATGGTTGCAAGACATTTTACAAGAGATAGCATAAAGAATCACCAAGGGTCTACCAACAGATGAATGGGTATACCATGAGACAGTATTTAGTCACAGAAATAATTGCAGCAAACAGAAAGAAACTTTTGCCAAGCAAAATAAGCCAAACAGATAAACACTGCTTGTTTATTCTCACATGTGAATGCTAAACAATTTGCAAGAGAATGAAGAATCACCATTAGAAACATGTGAACTTTAAACCAAAATAAATGTAAAAGGTGAAGCTAATCAGTCATTATTTTAGAGAAGAAGCTATTTTCTCCATGTCCAGTTTTTGTATTTTAGGAAAAAATATAAAGTTCCATTACTTTGTGCAGTTAATCTCTAATAATTCTCTTCCAAAGTCAGAAAATGGCATCGTGTTTCTTTTGATGATATGATTTGCTCATCAGAAAAATGTGCTTCAATGTGTGCTTTGCAACTCTGGTGACATGGAGTTAAAAAGCTCCATGTAGAATAAAATTCTTTTACAAACATTAGGGGGCAAAACGACCTTGGAGAAAACAGAGGGTGAATATGTACCTTCCGGAAGACAAAATAGGACTGCATCTCAGAGGAGGCTACATTATTCCTATACAGCAGCCAGATGTGACAACTACTGCAAGGTAAAGTGAGCTGGACTTTTCCTGCACTAGCTCTTATTTTCATTAAGAACCAAAGGTTAATATTGGCTTTCACCAAGATATTTCACACCCAGGTTATTCTTAGAAATGTCATGTTTATAAAAATAGTTAAAGTATGTGTATGTCATGTACATGCAAATATTTAAGTTACATATAGACATATATTTATAAATTAAGTTAAATATAACTGAAAAAATTGTATATATGGAAATATATGTAACTGAAATATATGTATATAAATATAAATACATATATATGTGTATATACACACACAACATATACGCAATTGTTTTATCTTATAAAGATTTGGTTAAAATCCAAAGATTCTTTTATATTTTCTCCAAAATATGCAAATTAAAGATAATCTCTTTTTCTGATAGGTTGAAACATTAATCTTTCCCATATCATTGAGAGTCATGTGTCCTTTTTAAATTTTTTCCAAACTCACAATTTTTCCTTCTGCTTTAATTATACTATAAAGATGTGCCAAACAGGAGAACTAAACTGTTGTGTTAGAATGTGAGTTGGAAAGATTAAAATCTGTAAAGAATACTTCTTTGATCACTTAGTCACAGAGATACTACTTTATGGTAATATAGAGCTAAGAAAATTCTTTTCTGATCACTTTGCTGATTCTGTTATAATTGGCTTTGGTTATAAAATTAGTAAAAATTCCTCTAGGCATTTCTAATACTTTGCATCATTTATTTATTATTTTGCATTGAAGATACAGATTTAATAAATTGCAATATAAGATTACGGTGGTTGAGTACCCCTTAATTTTTCTTGCTTACATTGGAATGTAGTATTTTGGCAATTTTACAGCTGTTAAACTTTTCAAAACTTCATTTCTCATTTTTCTACTTGTTAATTTTGTGTAGTTTCTAATTCTATACATTATATTTGCATTCACCTAAGAATTTGAGAGAATGTTAGTATTGTTTTGAATCTATAGATCAGTGTTGTATTAATGCAGAAGTCCAAGACAGACTGGCTAGGGCTCATTTACAGAAAATCTCATTGTCATGTTTCTTCTTTAATTATACACGCCCCTCATTTTACCTAACAGCCGGAAGAATCCTCTCGGCCTTATCGTTGCACTGGATGAAAATAACACAGCAAAGGGAGACTTTTTCTGGGATGATGGAGAAAGTATCAGTAAGTCTGCTTTGATAGGCAGTCATGTCTTTCACACCTCCTGAAGTCCCCTCCTGCTCAGGCGTCTTCTAGAAGAATAGCACATGTTATTTTAGGCTTGTAGGTTCCTCTGTGAAACTCAACATTGTCATCTTACTTACTTATATCTCATTAAGATAACTATGTTTGCGTATTGATTTCTCATTAGTCTTCATCAAGTGTATCTGAATAGGTTGCATGAATACCTTTCATATTAAGGTGATGTTTCCAGATTGCATTATGTTTTCAAATGTTTTACATGATTCTAGTTCTCAAGCGTAAAATCATGTTACTGTAGATTAAAAGAAACCTAGTTTTTAAAGCTTTAGGTCAATGAAATCAAATTATTTGAAGAGAGAAGGTTTCATAATTTATTTACTTTATTTACTTTACTGTTTATTCAGTGTTGTTTTCTGAATATCAAACTGGAGAGTTGTTTATTAAAAAATATAATTGAGACACTTTATGTTAATTAAATCATACCAGAATTTTAATTTAGATATTTATAATACTTCACAAATTTATATTTATTATCTATTTCCTTTAATAGAGGGTTATGCAGGTGTGCACAGATTTAAAGCTAGCTTCTACTTCAGCTCAATACTTCTCAACATGCATATAAAAATATCCATATGTCTTAAACCTACATTATCTTCCTATGTTTCTTCCTTCATACCATGAGTTAGTTTGTAGGCTATTTCATAATCTGATAAGGTGATATCTCTGGAAAAAATACCTTGTTAGTTTTGATGTTATGAATTTATGAAAAGTCAGGTATTTAAAAACTACTGCTGGGCACTGGTAGCCCATGCCTATAATCTTAGCTACTCAGGAGGCTGAGATCTGAGGATAGGCAGAGATCTGAGGATAGCAGTTTAAGGCCAGCCCCGGAAGGAAAGTCCATGAGACTCTTATCTCCAGTTAACCACCAGAGAACTGGAAGTGGTGCTATGGCTCAAGCAGTAGACTTGAGCTGAAGAGTGCAGGTACAGCATCCAAGCTGAGTTCAAGCCCCACAAACAAACCCCAACAAGCCCCAACAAACAAACAAAAACAACAACAAAACTATTGCTGAGATTCAGTAATTCCTTCACTTGTGAAGTGATATTCACACTAAATCAACATTTATTTGAATCAATAACATCTATCTGTGGAAATTGATTAGTATGTTAAAAATCAAAATTATTCTATAGAATTCACTGAAAGAGCTTTCTTGATTCAAGATCAATTATGAAGTTGCCTTCATAATTATCAGTCAGAACTGTCACATTTCCATCTGTTATCTGGTTATGCCCATCCCTTGATGATTACTGAGTTTTATGTTCCTGATGCCCAGGTAATACTTTTAGATAGGATCTCTGCATTCCTTCTATCTCCATTTGATTGTCTAATGAAAATCAATAATCCCAGGCCATCCTGGGGCTCAGCATTCACTATCATGTAGCCATAGAATGGAAGGGCCTTGCCTTTGAGCATGCTAACACAGTCTGGCCTTTATGAATTCATGGCAACCAGTGCTTTTGAGGCCAAGCACTGCAAAGCTGACTGATCTGTCTTACAGCCTAGAAATATCTCTTGAATCGTCTTTGGTCTGAATTCTCTTATCAGAATCATTATTATCATTACTCTGTTTCATTTTCATTCCTGCAAGTTTTCATTTGTGCCACTTTTAATTGCCTAACAAGTCTAGATCTGTAGTTGTTGTAAAACCCTTTTACAATGTACAATCCAACAGTTTTGTAACCCCCATAAAGTTGACTCAAATTATTACACCTGTGCCACGAATCCTCTAAAGACAATTGATTTACTTATTTAGCAATCTGAAATTATATAGAACCTACAGGCTTATCATAATTTGTGCTTCTAGAGGAGTTGCCTGCAAACACACACACACACACACACACACACACACACACACACACACACACACTCCCCACACCCTTCTCCCTTTCTCATTCTAGCTCAGCAAACCAGTCTTCCTACTGTTTCTTATGCACTCAGGAACCTAGTCACATTTCTCTGAGTCAAAAGTAAGAAGTTCTTTTTACATACAAGCTCAGTCAAAAGAGATGCTAAGAAAATTAAACTATTTATAGCCATCCAATCCAATATTTTTTGAATAATAAATTTGTAAGCAAACATTTGAATGGAAGAATGTTTAATTCACATTCTGATTGCAATTTGTTCTGTTTTATGAAAATGGTAAGCAAATTAATGTTGAAAAATCATATATACATGTAACAATTCTATTTGTTAACAGTTTCCTCAAAAATTTGGTAGGTTTAATCTTCCATTCGATGAAGAACAAAGTTTCTGACATAAATAATACTGAATAGCCTTGTATTTCACAGGAACGCTAGTTGGAGGAGCTTGGTTGGATGAGCAATGGGGCAGGGGATGGATATGGCAAGAATACTCGATGTAGATAAGGGATGAAGGAGAGGAGTGTGTCTGGGGAGGAGGCAGACAGGATGTGGAAGAAAGATGCAAGGCCTAACTGCTGAAGCTATACCAGATACCTAGACACACATGTTAAACTTTAATATCCTTTACAACCACTTGTAGTTTAAAATAGCTGAGCAGAAATGAATCATACAAGACTTTAGAGTTTATTTCAAGAACAAATTGAGGGTTTTTTAGGTCTTTGTTATGTTTACAAGTTCATTGATTTTCCCCCAAACAATGAAAAAATCATGACACCAAGATAGAAAATAATGACACATGGCGTCAGCCAAGTCTTTATTGGGAAGTTTAACTTTTTGATAGAGAATAAAAGTATGGTCCAAAACAATAAATATATCTTTTTTTTTTACTATCAGTGTTGTTTACATTAACTTCCAGAAATATTTCACCATTCATTGAAACTTTTAAGTATTGCTTTTATCTACCAGGGAAATAAAATATCGTTATTGTGTTTATAATTGGGGAGAAATACAATAGGAAAATTCTTTAGCAGATGTCCTTAATAAACATTTTAAGCCCAAAAATGTTAAATGTATAACTGTAATGACCTGCATTTTGATCTGATATTTTCCTTTTCTATTTCAGAAAGCATCGACGATGGCATCTATATATTGTATGAATTTTCAGTTTCTAATGTAAGCATTCTCTTTTGACATTTAAATAAGTACAAATTTTGTTAATGTCTTAATTTTTAGTTGTAAATTACTTTTGGAAAAAGATTTTAAATTTCCCTACCAATTATAGCAATACAATGGAACTATCTGTTAACTTATAATTGCTAAGTTATGAACCACTTATTTTAGAATTTCAATGCAAAGGTGATAGATCCTCTTTTATCATAAAAACTCTTGTACTTCTTAAAGTATCTATCACAACTCTTTTTAAGCCACACACCCTTGGAAGATAACTGAATATCTGAAAATGTTTTAATATTTTCATCACAGTGATAATTGGTGTGGAATTTGAGAATAAAAAAATCTATGTACAGATGAAAGTTTGAATAAGAAATAGAGAAAAATTTCATAGATGTTGGGTCTCTGTAGTCATTTTCTTGTTGAAGTTATGCTATTCATCATCATGGTAAGGCTAGAACAAGGAGACCTTTATGTAATTGAATTAAGATAGTTCTGAAAATAATATTGCATGGCATATATACAAAATGTGAAAAGTTGCTTGCATGAGGCGGGCGGGGTGAGATTGGATAGGTTTGTGGTTGGGTCATTTAATTTTCTCCTAGCATGTTGTCAGTTTTGTATCTGAAAACTTGTTTATAATATTATATACTCTGTTTTCTTCTTCCAGAAAAACTTACAAATTACATGCAAACATGCAAACTATGAAGAAGGAACCACTTTAGCATTTGAAACCATAAAAGTCCTTGGGTTGACAGAAACTGTTACTGAAGTTACAGTAGCTGAAAACAACCAGGCAATGTCTGCACATGCTAACTTCACTTACGATGCTTCCAACCAGGTAAAAATAATCTTGGGAAACTTTTTATCTGTCATGAGCTCTCATTTTGAAAACTGCAGAAACACCAGGCTGTAAATTTCCATTTCCTTCATGGTATGTCTTCTCTCTTTCCTCTCTCCCTTTTTCCCTTTCTCCCTTCCTTCCTTCCTTCCTCCCTGCCTCCCTCCCCTTCCTCCTTCCCTTCCCATCCTCCCTCCCTCCCCTCCCTACCTTCCTCTCTCCCTCCCTTCCTCTCTCCCTCCCTCCCTCCCTTTCTCCCTCCCTCCCTGCCTCCCTTCCTTCCTTCCTTCCTTCCTTCCTTCCTTCCTTCCTTCCTTCCTTCCTTCCTTCCTTCCTTATCTTCCCTTCTTTCCATCTTTCGTCCCTCCTCCTTACTTTCTCATCTCTTGTTCATCCCCTTTTTTCATAATTCCATATTAATTTCTTCCTCATATTGCAAATAGTAGATATTAGTAAATTATTATGTTAAATATTTCTTTACATATTTCTTTTAACAATATTTATTTTCAATCCCTTCCTGTTCAAGAAGCTTCTTTGTCAAATTGGCCAACTTTGTGCCCCTGTATATTGTCTGCAGAAATTAATGTGTGTCTTATACTTAGAGTCATTGTCTTGGGTACTGTGCTACATGCTTCAAGTTTCACATCTCATTCATTCTGTACAGAAAGTTCTAGCAATTAGGATTTCTGTCTTCATTTTACAATGGAGGGAACTGCAGATGACACCGAATGCATAGTTCCTCAAAAACCCATGAACCCAAAGTTCAAGAACTTAAAATCATTGGGTGAAGGAATTGGCACCCGATCTCTTAAATGGCATGAATTCCACCCTGTTTCTACACTCCCTTACAGCTGCTACCATTTGTAGGCTCTAGCAACTTCATGTTGTGGTACTTTGCTCCTTGCTCATCTGTTTGTCCATATTGCTATCAAAAGTGTTTTGGGCTGTTTTGAAGAATTTCTAGAGTTGCCATACTGTGGGCAATGTTAAATATTTAAAATTGTTACAGACAAGTTAACAAAAAAAGTTTAACTTTTTCAACCTTCAAAGGTTCTCCTAATTACGGATCTCAAGTTTAACCTTGGAAAAAACTTTACAATTCAATGGAATCAAGTTTTCCCAGACTATGAGAGGTTCAATTGCTATCCTGACTCAGATACAATAGATGAGGAAGAGTGCTTGAAGCGGGGCTGTGTCATAGCAAAGGTAATGAACATCTTTTTTCTGATTCAGTATGTTTCCATATAGCACTTCAATGTGAACTTTATCATAATTTGGAATTCTATAATTTGTAATAGAGAGTCATTTGGAATGTTCAATTAGTAGTGGTGATACACAGTCCCACTTTATTTAAAGTGACTTATATTAATCAATATGTTCATATAAATTGTTTTCCAGGTACATTGAATAGTGTCACTTTATTTAATAAAAAAAAGGATTCTAGGCTGGGTGTGGATGTCTCATGCCTCTGTGAATCAAGTTATACTGAGGCCTGAGATCTTGAGGAAAGAGAGTTCAGTCAACCCAGGCAGATACATCCACAAGACTCCGGAAAGCCAGTCTGGAAATTGACTCAAGTAGTAGAGTGTCAGCTATGATATGAGCAAGGAAGCCAAGAGAAATCACTCAGACATAAGATATTCAGTCTGATTATTTGCTTTCTTGTATTTCTTTTTTTCTTTTTTGATGCTGAAAGTCATCTTTATTGAATATGTATAAATCATTGATATTTCTCTCTATAAAATAATTTATAACATCATTGTATTTTACAATACAAAATATAGCTGTGTTTAGACCACGCTGTTTCCCACTTAACAACCATGTCATTTCCCATTTAATAACCATGCTGTTTCCCATTTAACACATATTCATTGAGACCTATTACTTTTTTTATTGTTGTTGTGGTTGTCGGTTCTGAGGTTTGAACTCAGGACCTCCTGGCTACTTGCCTTACCTGAGTGCGGTGCATGCCTCCAGCCTGACATTTAACTGTTTATTTTTTAGAAGATGGAGTCTAGTGAATGTTCCTGACAGGGCTGACATTGAATCTAAGTTCTCTGGATTTCAGTCTCCTGAGTATCTAGCATTATAGAGGAAGTCCCTCCTACTCAACTAAAAGACCTAGAGCTTTGTGATTATAACTCCTTTTGAAAAAAATAAATTAACAAAATCCACCTGTCCTGTTAGAGCTTATATTCACTTTAGGAAAAGAATCAAACAGTTTGCATTTGATAAATAGTATCAAGGAGGAAGTAGAGGAGAAAAGGGAAGGGAAGACTGGTGGTAAAATTCCAGTGGCACCACTACCACTGCGTCGCGTCCAGTCTTTCACAAAGCCCTGGCCAGCCCCATTCGCGGCATTCTCATATGCGGCAATGAAGCTGCCATCACGGAAGAGATGCACTCCTGGCATTTCAATGCCTGCAGACCTGAAGGGGCCTGCACCCCAGCCCACATAGCACAGCCATGTGACCAACTCCTGCCCACGGGAGTCAACACCTGTGCAACAATAGCATGCCTCTCTTACTGAAAAGACATGTATCCCTCAACTCTCTACCCTGTCTCCCATAGCACCAATGTTAGACTCATCCTTTCATTTATTTATTGTCATTATTATTATTATTATGGGAGACACAGAGATTGAACTTTTCTAAAGACACTCAATCCCTGGTGCCCTGGTGCTCATTTCATGCATGTGTATGCAATGAAGAGTCACACTGAGAGGTCAGAACTTTTGTAAACTGAGAAATCAGTCCTTCCGTTTCATATACATTAATCAAGAATCATTTATAAGATGATTTATTTGTTGCTTTGTATACCCCCCCCCACAGTATAACCCCTGCTTTCACTGTAGTTGATGTTGGTATACTTTGTGGAAGGGAAGGGAAAAAATTTGTTTAAATAGGGATACAGGTGCAACAATGAGATGTACAAGATGTTATGTCGAAAAATGAACTTTAGGGGCTGGGAAGGTGGCTCAGTGGTAGAGCGCTTGCCTTGCATGCATGAGGCCCTGGGTTCTATTCCTCAGCACCACATAAGCAAAAAAGAAAAAAAAGCCGGAAGTGGTGCTGTAGCTCAAGTGGTAGAGCGCTAGCCTTGAGCTGAAGAGCTGAGGGACAGCGCCCAGACCCAGAGTTCAGGCCCCATGACCAGACCCCCCCCAAAAAAAAGAAAGAAAAATGAACTTTACAAATTTGGTATGTGTGGGGGAGATGGAAATGGATGGAAAGGGGAAACAAAGGAGGAGGCAACAATGCTTGATTAGAAATGTACTCATTACCTTGCCCATGTAATTGTAAACCCTCTGTATGGTATCTTCACAATAAAAAAAAAGAATCAGATTTGTTTTTGTTTTACAAGATGAACCCCAAGCTTTATATGCTCACCTTCTAATGTCATCAATGTTCTGGGCTCCTCCATATTTTTATAAAACTTTTTACTTTTAAGTTTTATCATGGCTATTGGAAGTATGTTTATTTATATTCTCCATGACACAAGGAAAATACAAAGGCAAACACCATCACAATTTATATCTCTTAGTCTAAGATGCCTTTGCTCTCTTACCCAACATCTGCTAAAGAGACTGTGATAGCCATAAAAGAATAATAAAATAAGAAAATAAGAAATAATAGGTTAATAATTAGGAAGATAAGGAGAAAAGATTTTGGTAAATCCACTAGCCTCAGTAGCAAAGTAAACTGTTTTCTTCTCTTAGGTCTTAGCTTTTATTTCTGCTAACATGTTCAGTTGTAATATTTGATCACAGTTCCTAAGTTAATTGCTGAGCAAGGTGCACCTGATCGGCTTCATACTACTCAGAAAAAGAGAGTGAAATTGAAGCATTACAAATGAAAAAAAAAAAGAGCCTGAGGACATGCTTTTTCAGTTTTTGTTGTTTGTTTTGTGCCAACACTGGGGCTTGAACTCAGGGCCTGTTTTCATTCCAGGCAGACACTTTCTCAGTTGAATTGTAACTCAGCTTCTGGCTTCGGCCTGTTTAATTAGGGATAAGAATCTCACAGACTTTCCTAACTGTACTGGCTTCAAACTATAATATTACTTCTGAACAGCCTCCTGAGTAACTAAAATATCAGCTGGATCCTACACACCCAGCTCACATGTTGTTTTGAGGGTTATTATAAACCCATTTCTCTCTCTCTCTCTCTCTCTCTCTCTCTCTCACAATCTCTCTCTCTCTCACACACTCTCTCTCTCTCTCTTTCTCAACCATACACACATTATTAAGACCTATAAATAAAAATAAGAAAAAAGTATAGGAACAAAATTGTGTGAATAACATAATTTTTACAATGACAACAAAACCCCATTCCTTTTTTTACAACAATCTTTTTAATTTCAAAAGTCCATTTAAAATTCTTGTCTTTTACATTTCAGCTTTACATTTTACTACAAAATCTCTAGCTGTATGAACCGTTCAGCTGACTATTCTACTTGACTCTTTGTTTACAGCTAAAAAAGGGTGACTTGTGAACTTTTTCTTCTACTGTTGTATGTTTAGAATAGTATAAAAGTTGAAAGTAATATTTTATAACTTGGTGCCAAATGCATAATAGATGATTTATATTATAAATAAGGCTCACATTGTGTACTCTCCACTAGCATCCACCATCTGACAGTGAGCATTCATTATACTTTTTAGGCTGAATCTGACCCAAGAGCACCTGAGTGCTACTTTCCCAGACAAGACAACCCTTACTCAGTTTCATCAGTTCAGTATCTTCCAACGGGTATGACAGCCGACCTTCAGCTCAATCCCACAAATGCTAGAATCCAGCTTCCATCCACACCCATCGTTGCCCTTCGAGTGGAGGTGAAATACCACAAAAATGACATGCTGCAGTTTAAGGTAGGTTTGATTAAACAATGCCTGACTAACTTCTTGTGATTAAGAAAATATACTTATAGCTCAAAAACTTAAATTCCTTCCCCAACAAACCCTCAAAGAAATAACAACTCGATTAATAAATGGGCTAGAGACTTGAAGAGGTACTGAATAGATATGATACTTAGAATTAATAGGTAATAATTTTAAAATAAATAAAACACAATGCTTATTAGTTTGTATAGTATATGTTATATTATTTCCCATATATAAAAAACTGGTCTTGCATCTAATAAAATAAGACATATAAAAGAACAATTCCTTCCAACATTAAAGATAGCAATTTTACTTTTAAGAATCCCAACAAAAATCTATTAATCTACTAACCGGAAATGATTAAAAAGAACACTCAAATGACTGGTATAAAATAGTTGTTCCAAAATTTATTTTCTCATTTTCTAGGATGCATAAGGAAGTCGAGGTCAAATAGTAGCAAAATTAGTAAAATTAAAGAAAAAGAAAATGATCAAAATATCAGTATCGGAGAAATGGTTGGACTCTCCATAAGATGAAACTAATAAAAACACATTTATAATTATTAAGTACCAAATGCTAAGTAAAACTAAATGCTATTTTAGATGTTACTTCCTTTTAGATCAGTTGATGCTATTAATGTATTTTCATAAAATGATAGTAAAATATTTGTGATAATTACTAGATTGCCTTAATTTACTAACAGCTTTCTAGATTAAGTTTATGATAATGTTTTAAAAGGGAAAATGCTTAACCTTTATAAAATTATAATAATGCCAGTCTAGAATCAGAATTTCCTGACAAATAATGGAGGTAATATTCTCAAATAGCTCATAGATAACTAAGTATGTAGTATACATATATATATATATATATATATATATATAATATGTAGACATGATTTTAAAACTTTAACATACAACAAGGAAAATTTGCCAACTAATTATGAAGAGGTATATTATTTAATAATGCATATAAAAGTTATCTGCCTCAAAAATATACATAACAGAATTTAGTTTGAGCATTCTATGTAAAGTCAACCAAATGTAAGCTGCAAACAAATTTTGCTTGCATATTTGTCTTGAATCAGGCTTGTAATGTTCATTCAAGCCAAATAATCCATTAATAAAAATAATCTCACACAATCCCATTGATTCATTATATTTCCTTTTGTGGGGTTAAGAAGGCAATTTCTACGGAAGGAACAGAGAACTTAGTAATCAGCCATTTACTGGAGCAAAAAGTAAAAATGTAAAATAAAAATATTCAAATATTTATATTCATAGAAAATGTCTAGTCATACATAAAGTGTCACAAGTATATAAAATATTTTTCAAGATGTTGCTAGTAGATTGGCCTCAGGAAAATGTACAATTGCAACAGTGGATTACAATGGACTGTATATCAAATCACTATTTAAGAAGTACAATAATGCCAGGTACTAGGTGGCTCAGGCCTGAAATCCTAGCTACTCAGGATGCTGAGATCTGAAGATTGCGGTTTGAAGCCAGCCCAGGCATGAAAGTCTATGAGACTCTTACCTTCCATAAATTTCTCAGAAAAAGTCAGAAGTGCCTCTGTGGCTCAAAGTGCTAGAATATTAGCCTTGGTCACAAAGAGGCTCAGGGACAGTGCTCCCACCTGGGGTTTGAACCAGGACAGGCCAGAAAAAAAAGGCAAATTCAAAGAAAGAGACACTCAGTGTGGTTATCATGGGGAAGATTGCAGTCTTTAACAAGAAATTTTATTCGTTTATAATTTCACAATTGGAGCAGCGTTCTGAGGATTGGGATTGTCAGAATCATGATGTGACTGTGTGAGCTCCACTGAGCATGCTCACATGTGAAAGTGGCACCATCCCCTGGCAATGGGGTCCACAACCATGTGATGCATGTGGATTTTCTTTGGTGGAAATATTATTCACATACCTGATTGTGATCAGCTGCATTTAAAATGCTTTCAGTTTAATATAAAATATTATTTGGATACCCATTTTGGTGGGACTATTAATTAAGCCAAGAATCATGGAAGGAAGTTTCTGATTGCTATTGAATACCCTAAAAAGTGAATATACTCTGAGCAAGCACTTCAGTGCATAGGAAATGTACTGAAAGAACAAAGAAACCAATAATCCCAAGCAAACATTTACATGTCCCACTTGATTGTACATGTAAGGAAATGTCGAAGGAAGACTGGTAGTATGTCCATAACAGAGAATATTTGACAGTTTTGTATTTGATATTCTGTTCTATTAAATACATACAATGAGTCTTCATGCATCATTACAATGAATCTATATGAAATAGATAAAAATATTCTGCTTGATTCTATTATATAAAATGCTACAGAATTTTATGGGCCATAGAGGTAGAATTAGGTATTTGAAGTGGATTATTTGAAGTAAAATTATTTAAATGGTGATTTACAATAGCTGATGAGATTTGCCCACCATCAGCAACAAAGAGCAGATCCCACCTCTCTTGCTTCCTATTTCTCTGCAATAGATTTATGATTCCCAAAATAAGAGATACGAAGTTCCAGTACCATTGAACATTCCAGAAACTCCAATGAGTACTCATGAAAACAGACTTTATGATGTGGAAATCAGAGAAAACCCTTTTGGCATCCGAGTTCGACGCAGGAGCACTGGGAGAATCATGTAAGTGATTGGATTATTCCGTAGGAAGGCTATTGCTGTGAGTTCAGGAAGGAAAAGTAAGGTCACTATTATCACAGTGGGGCAATGACATCATGTATAGGTTTTAAGATGTGTTAAATGATTGCTAGTTTTTCCATTTTAAAATTAAACATTTAGCTCAGGAATAAAATTTGATTTACACTAGGAATCTTATGGCTTATATTAATGGAAATGATACTCCATTTTCTAGTCAACGAAAAACTAAACCAAGATGCTTAGCCAAGCATCTTATCTTAATCTCTACCAATCTTATCTTTAATCTTTACCAATGCTGAGCATTGGTAAAAATAAGTTAGGAGTATGCTATATAAACCTATCATATAAGCATATCACTACAACTGCTACACATAGTTATGGAAAGATTGACTCTGATAAGAATGTGAAAGCCAAGGTGTTCATACATAAATCTATATTTATTTTGATGATACAGAAAATAAATTCATTTGAAGTCATTGACTTTATTTTAACCATACTAGAATAAAATATACTTTTACTTATTTAAAATTTATCCTACCATGCTTTCAGGGGTGAGGAGACATTTTTTGGTCAAGGAACTTTTAAAAAAGTTTTATTTTCTTGTAAAGATGCTGTACAGAGGGGGTACAGTTACATGAGTAAGGTATTGAGTACATTTCTTGTCAAATATTTTTACCCCTTTAACATTATCTGAGCACCATGCAAAATGATCAGTACAGGTAGTCAGTGAGAGCCAGCAAGAGGAAACCAGAAAAACACCTTTCATCTGCTAAATGGCCTTGAGACCTTTTAAATTTCTGACATTCTCCAGAGCTGCCTCAGGTCAGATTCATTCAAGTATTATCAGGATGGATAGAAATAATCGGAGTACCAGGTCCATCCTGATGTAATCATTTTATTATGATGAATGCTGTTCAAAAGAATGAAAAACTACTTCCATAGAAAGATCCAAATATAGCTTATGACATTGTTGGGAGTGAGGTACTCTTTACTAGTTTTCAAAAAGTAATTATGCCACAGATTTGTTCATCATAGACAGGCTATCCTTAAATGCACATGATGCTAGCCAATGACTCAATTAACAAAATATTTTTGTAGTGTATTATTTCTTAAATAACATCTTTCAGAAATGAAGGAAATGAGGGAAAAGACTGAGAGTGTAAATATAGGAAAAACTGAATTAAAATTAAGCTTATAGTTCCTATCAAAACTTATTTCCTTTAGTTCCATATGTAGAAATTTTTTTAGCTTGATTTTCTCAAGGTAATGTGAAAATGAATTTTCAAGGCATACAATGCTGAGTCATAGTGATTCATTAATTTAGTTTTGAGACTAACATCTTATCTTTAATCAATTGTTATTATGTACATAGTAAGGAGTTTACAAATTGTACAGTAAGGGTTTCATTGTGAAACATATCTATGATATAATTTAATCAATCTTTCCTCTTCTATTGAATGTTTTTATTTTTCTCTTCCTTTGCCTTCCCTTTCCACCTCCCCATTTTCACAACCTTGCTTTGCTTTGTTTGTTTTGTATTGTTTTGCTTCCTTTCCCATATCTATTGGTAATGAGAAAAAGTGGGTGATACTTGTCTCTTGGGGAGCTGATTATATCATTTAACATGATTATTAGACATATCTTTATTCATATTGTGTTTGACATCTGATCTAGAAAATACATTTTATATTCTTTGACTCAGCCAGAGTTCTATGTATATATCGATATACATATATATGTTTATATGTACATATGCATATAAATATCCATATATATGTATGTATGTATCCAGATATGCAGATTATATGCATGTATCTATACTTAGATGTATATATAATATACATTTAATAATGGTCAATATTTTAGTATTGGGTATATTTAAATATACAGGGGAAAAATATTTGCTTTCAGATTGCCAAAGGCAAAATAGCTTGTATGGTTTAAATATGCAACTATTGTGCAATGCATTTTGACTGCAGTACAGCTGTGTTCCTGTGTTTTCAGTTGGGATTCTTGCCTGCCCGGGTTTGCCTTCAATGACCAGTTCATTCAGATCTCTACGCGCTTGCCATCAGAGTACATCTATGGTTTTGGGGAAGTGGAGCACCAGGCATTTAGGCATGACCTGCAATGGCATACCTGGGGCATGTTCACGCGGGACCAGCCCCCTGGGGTGAGTAGGCTGAGACCAGTCCCCTGGGGTGAGTAGGCAGCCAGGGTAACCAGTAAACCAACAGGGCTGCGGTTTGGTCCAGGCCACAGCAGCGCAAGCTCCAGAGTGTAGCGCTGAAGAAGAAATACAAAGCAGCCTAGAGATGGTGGCAACAGGCTTTCTTCAACCGGGAGAGAGCAAGGGAAGGGGTTTCATGGCCCACACATGATTTCTAAAACCAAGTGCAAACATTATTGTAAAAAAATTAGAAAAATATCTTTATTTTCTGAAAACTGACTAAAGATATTATTAAAAATTACCTGACTTATGGAAATGTATCCAACTTAGTCGTACTACTTAATACTACAAGTTATAGAAATGCAAATTAAAAGTAGAGGGAAAAATGTCTACTGGCCTAATGATCAAGAGACAAGTTAATAAATTATTTCAACCTTTTCAATCACATAGAATTCTTATTCTATATGGATACAGGTTTCTTGAAAATCAGCTCTCTAGGGTTCTTGTTTTACTTATTAATTTATTAATCTGTATATGGTATATATATTGATTTGATACCTAGTCTATTGTTTTATTTTTTATGCTTTTATCATAAAAATGATATACAGAGGGGTTAAAGTTACATGAGTAAGGTAATGACTACATTTCCTATCGAGCATTGTTACACCCTCCTTTCTTTTTCCCCTACCACCCCTTCCCTCCCCACATCCCCAACTCCTCCCTCTCCCTCTGCCCCACCCCCCCACAAGTTGTAAACTTTGTTTTCAACATAGTGTTTTGGACATCTCATTGTTACAATGGGTCAACCTGTATCTTTATTTCATTGTAATCCACTGTTTCAATTGTACATTTACTTGAGGCTACACTGCTAGCTACATCTTAAAATTTTTTTATATTCTTATGATATACTTCCTAAGGTTCTGTCTTGTTAACAGAACACATTTCATGAATAACTCATGTTTTATAAAATATATACTCCTAATTACAATGGCTCCAAGCATGTCATGAAAGAAAAAGCATTTTTTTTTATAAAATACTAACTCACTTTTATTTTGTCCAAATGCCTACTTTAAAGATGCACTCAGTAATACAATGCAAGCGTTTTTACCTCTGTTGCTGATTTTTCATTGTAAAGGTGATATACAAAGGGGTTACAATTACATAAGTCAGGTAATGAATACATTTCTTGTCAAACCGTGTTACTTTCTCCATTGTTTTCTCCTGCTTCCCTTCCTTCCCCCTCTTCCCCTCCCCTCCCAAGTTGTAAAGTTCATTTCCAACATGTAACCATTTACTTTTTAAATTGGGAGGTGTATATTTAATTTTGATCCCAGGAGATCAAACAACTTTTCACTTTTGTCGTAATTGTCCAAATGCAAATGTGGTTTTTCCAAGCACATAAACCCCAAAGAACATTTTACCAAAATTATCTGTATAAGAACTCTTCGTCATTTCTATAGGTAGTAATAGATGATTAAAACCTAGATTCTCAATATGGACAGTTACATTCACATAATAACAAATGACTGAAATTAAAGTGTGAGGAAGGCATACAATGCTTTATGAATGAGAGCATTATATTTTTATAAACTATGCTCTTTGGCTTGCACCATTTCTAGGGTAATGGGTCAGCACAAGGAATTGCAGTCAGGCATATAGCCTGTGGAAGAAACGCAAATGCAGTTAACATCATTGACATTCTATGTCAGTTCATATGCCAGATACGTGGACATTACTGATTTGACACTCATTTACATGTTTGAAAAGCAATGATATTTGCAACAACAGATAAATTATTTTCCTAGGGAAATGAACCTAGTTTAATGCAAGCACAGCTTGAGTGGGCTAAACAGAAGCATTTAAGTACTAAGGCTCGGATTACTGAGCATTCATTATGCCTAATCTTTTGTTTCAGTATAAACTTAATTCCTATGGATTTCAGCCATATTACATGGCCCTGGAAGAAGAAGGGAATGCTCATGGTGTTCTCTTATTGAACAGCAATGGAATGGGTAAGATGATTCTTGAATTTCTCACCAGGAGTACAAAGGTGACTCAAAGCAAATCAATAACCTTATGCACAGATAAAAATGGAATTTTATGTTCGATTATTTCCAGATGTTACATTCCAGCCAACTCCTGCTTTGACTTACCGTATCATTGGAGGTATCTTGGATTTTTACATGTTCTTGGGTCCAACTCCAGAGGTTGCAACAAAGCAGTATCATGAAGTATGATTGAGTATTTAAAATTTGGTTTCTTCCCATTCGAAGATGCACCTCTTACTCAATATGTAACTACTTTTTCGTGTTGGTGTTCTTAAAGGTCATTGGCCACCCAGTAATGCCTCCTTACTGGGCTTTGGGGTTCCAGTTGTGCCGTTATGGATACAGAAACACTTCAGAAATTCAGCAGCTGTATGATGACATGGTGGCCGCCAAGATTCCCTATGTATGTACCCCCTTTGAAGACCACACTAAATATGCAATCAATATCAGAAAGAAACAGATGTCTAGATTGTGGTAGTGATGTCAGAATTGGAAATGAAATTTTATGTAACTACATTTATCAGATTAATAAGGGAGAGGGGGAAATACCATTATTTTTTTTTCCTTCTTTCCCTTCATTTCTGTGATCTTGTGGTATCCTAACTCTGTCACCATACATTTTTGTTCCTGTTGTAAGCCATGGGGGCCTAGGTAGTCAGATACATTCGTTTTTAAAATTTTTTTGGGGGTGGGTCTGGTCGTGGGGCCTGAACTCTGGGCCTGGGCGCTATCCCTCAGTTCTTCAGCTCAAGGCAGCACTCTACCACTTGAGCCACAGCTCCACTTCTGCCTTTTTTTTTTCTTTTTGCTTATGTGGTGCTGAGGAATGGAACCCAGGGCCTCATGCATGCAAGGCAAGCACACTACCACTGAGCCACCTTCCTAGCCCTGTCAGATACATTCTTTATGTTCTCTTGTGTTCTGTAGAAGCCACAGGATGCTACATGATCAATTAACAGGAGAAATTAAGAGTCGGATTTTACATGGCTGTGGTGTAGCTCATAGTTACAATTTTACCATCCAGTGAGGATGGTAAAAAATATCCTCTTTGCTCAATATTTGGGAAATTAAATATTCCAAAATATCATAACTAATCAGTCTGTATTTTTATTTTACTCTTTTAAGCAAATTTAATGAATCACAAAGATTTTTCTAGTAGTACTTAATACTGAAGTAGAGAAGGTTTGGTAGAAACGATTCTAAGAAAGATCAACTCATTATAGATTTTAGTAGTTACACAGAATCTGGAACTGCTGGAAAGTTAATCTTATTGTCTGGACTCATATGGAAATATGCAAATGGAAATGCATTATACAAAGGAGATTTTATAATACTGTTCAACTGTATATCTCATAATTTTTTAGCCACTAGAAAAAAACAAGCTAAAGTTGATTACCTGCAAATAATAAATTATTTAACTAGTAATAAATTGGAGTAAAATCATGATTCTCTGGTAAAGTTGTTTGAGTAGATATATTTCAGAATATTATTATTAATTATTGTGATTATTATTTTTGTCATTCATGTGGATTGAATTTAGATCCTGGGCACTGTTCCTGAGCACTTTTTGTGCAAAACTAGCACTCCGCCACTTTGAGCCACAGTGTCACGTCCAATTTTTTGGTAATTAAATGAAGAAAAATGTCACACAGACTTTCCTGACCAGGCTAGCTTTGAACCATTATCCTCAGATCTCTAACACCTGAGTATCTAGGATTACAGGCATGTAAGCTCAAACTATTCAAATGTCAAAATACATTTCTTATTTACCAAAAATATTCTTCCAAATATCTCTTTGATAGGTTAAACAGGACTTATAATAATGGATGGATATGCTAATATCCCTTTTCCTTTCTGCCATTACTCGAATTATTTGAAATTATCTTTGTTGCCTTTGAATGTCCTCATAATAGAGCAATAATTTGCCTGTTCATACACTGTAGGAAGTTCCTGTATGAATTTATTATAATTTATAATTCTTTGGAAATTACATATCAAAATATACTAAGTTTGGACACTTACTTCCAAATGAAAATGGCTAAGTCAACTCTGGCAAAATAAGATACCTATATAAGTTATTCTCTTATTTGTAGAATAATTTATAATACTAAATGCTACTTGTCTTTTTTCCCCTTTAAATTAGAGAGAATCTATAGCTTTGTCAGACCTTGAACTCACTATAGGATGGAAGTTGCTTTCAAACTAGTAACCCTCCTGCCTCAAGCCCCTGAGGTGCCAACAGGCTCAGCTCACTTTTATTACTTGAACCCTCAATTATATATTAATTCTCTTTAGGATAACATGAGAAGAAGCTGGTGTTTTCATATTGCTGTGATTTTTACACATATAGTAGAATACTGCCCCACTGACTCTTATGTGTATGTGTTTCTTACTAAATTGCTCCTATTCTTTGGTTTTTAGGATGTCCAATATACAGACATTGATTACATGGAAAGACAACTAGACTTCACAATTGGTGAAAGATTCCATGACCTTCCTCAGCTTGTTGACAGAATAAGAAATGACGGGATGAGATACATTATTATTCTGGTCAGTGTTTTTATTTTTTTCTCTTACAATGTGTTTTTTTCTAATGTCATTATTGTAAAGGTAATGAATGGGGGTTACATTTCCATAAGTAATGTAATGAGTACATTTTATTTTATTTTTGTATGTTTTTATTGTAAAAATGCTGTACAGAGTAGTTACAGTTACATGAGCAAGATAGTGAGTACATTTCCTATAGACAGTTGTTGCCTAAAGTGTTACCCACCCCTCACTTTCTCCCACTTATCCCTCCCTAAACTTTCTTCTCCCCCACCTGCAACTTGTATAGTTCATTTCCAACATAGGGTCAAGTGAGTATCATTGTTGCATTAGTTCATTCTTTGTCCTGCTCTTTCTGTGATTCCCTCTCCCTTCTATGGAGCAAATAATCTTGTATACATGACAAAGGTTACAGAAAATTAAAACAGAAAAAAAATAGAAATCACTGCATACAGGACATACTAAGAAACACTTGTTTCCAATTCTTGGAGTTCCTTTTGATTTGCTTCATTATATATGGTCCTATGCACCTAGCTATTGGACTATTGTGCCCCTGTTAAGAATATCATATATATATATATATATATATATATATATATATATTCTAGTTATTACAAATGAAGGCCATGTAACCTACCTTTCTTTGGCTTGCTTGGCTTAATATAATTTTTCCAGGTCTTTCCATTTCCTTACGAACGGGGCAATGCCATTCTTTCTAGTGGAAGCCTAGAACTCCATTGTGTATATATACCACATTTTCTTGATCCATTCATCTACTGAGGGGCATCTGGGTTGTTTTCGTATCTTATAATGGTTTGTTCTCCTAATTGTCTGTAAATGATGATGGCACATAAAGGTATTTGAAATAGGAACTATAAAACTTTGAACTTTACTCTCACTTCTAAAAGTTTCCTTCATTAACATTACCTTTTATTTAACACTCCTTCCACTATCCGCCTTTTACTTAGTTATATCCTTATGTTGGTAAACCATAAGTTGGAAATTAAAGACAGATAGTTTCTGGTTACCATCCAAGCTATAAATTGACATAAACTTATAGAAGTTTCAACAGAGATGGTAGGTTTTTTGTTTCTATATAATCCTGAAATAATTCACTAGGATTGATTTTTATGTTTTCACATTTATACTTTGCCTTTAGGTTAATATTCACTTTCATATGGTGAACAAATTAAGCAAAAAAATATCACCAGAGAAATGAAATTAAAACAAGAAAGCATGGAGGAACTTGCTGAACATAGTAACTAATGCATTTTTAAAAGCTGTTAGAATAACCATCTAAGGAAATTAGAGCATAATTTTGATATATGAATAATGTTCATATAAGAGCCATACCTTAGGGTAATGGAAAACTCAAATATTTCATCATAGCTGTCCATGTGGCTACATTTTTATTCCTCATACATCTTGCTTATGTTTTATTTTAATTTTAGGATCCAGCAATTTCAGGAAATGAAACAAAGCCTTATCCTGCATTTTCAAGAGGAATCACAAATGATGTCTTCGTCAAATGGCCAGACACCAGTGAGATTTGTTGGGCAAAGGTACAATCCATGTTTTAAAGAGAGTAATGTTAAAATGGTTACTTCACATCACATTTGGATTTAACTAAAATATTAAAAGTTTATTTGGAGAAAAAACAAAATGATAATATTTTTATGACTACAAAGGCAATATGTACTTTTGAGTTTAAGTCAAGTGATTAATCCAAATCCTAAAATTAACTGTGTTAGCAACTCAGGAGTCTTTGCTTCAGGTCATTTAAGTATTTTTAATCCTCTACAAAACATTTCAGTAAATTGAAAACAGCAATAGTTGTTAAGAGCTATAATTATATTACTAACTTCTAAGGAGTACAACTGATGGAATTTTATTAACTTTATTTTTTATTAAATAAGTATATATATATATTATTCTAATGATACCATATAGAGAGATTACAGTTAGATGAATAGGGTAATGAGTACATGTCCTATCAAGCATTTTTACCCCTCCTTTGTTTTTCCCCTACCATCCCTTTCTGCCCCACCTCCCCAACTCTTTCCTCCCCCCACTAAATTGTAAAGTTCATATTCAATATGTATTGTACATCTCATAGTCACAGTATGCAGTAAAAACAATGAAATACTAAAATTCACAAAACTCCATGATGAGGGGCAAAATTAAACATGGTGGTAGTTTCCATATCTTCTATCTAAATTAAGACAATAATGGTACAATTGGTGAAATTTAAACGTACCCCATACATTAGTTAGTTACATTGCTTGATTTGATCATTAGACTATGATAACAGAATACTCTAGCATTAGGAGTAGATGAGTGAAAAAAGCTAAAAACCTTTAGATACTACTTTTGTAGCAGCTTTTACATGACTTTACAAAATAAATCATAAAAATAAAATCTTATGAAAAATTAGAAAATGATAATATTTAAAATCATGCAATAACAAGGTATGCCATATTGTCTAAAAGGAAGATATTTTCCATGCTTATTTCTGCTCATTCCATATTTCTACAGATTTTCTCCAATTTCCACCCTCCCTTCCTTACTTGAGAGCACTATTGCCCATCAGTCTTTAATCCCTCTGAAAGGATTAAGCTTACTCTAGGGGACAATTTACATTTTTAAATGGTGCCTCCAGCTCCTTCAATTTAGATTCTAATTCTTAGAGCTGGCAGCATAACTGAAATTGCTGTCTGTTTTGTGTATTTCTCCTGTATAGAGTATAGGAAGACCACTTAGACAATGAGTTGGGTAGTTGGAGCAAAGATTTAACACTAACTGTGCAAATTAATGGATGTTTTGTCTCAGCAAATCACTCCCAAATAAAATCTTTTGTCTTTTCAACTAAAAAATTATATTTATAATATTAAAATATACAATATAATATATAGTATATTATATAATGTAACTGTAGTATAATATATGTATAACATATATAATACAATATATGATACATTTATATATCATATATATTATATGTGTGCATATAAAGTATCACAAAAATGGTCATTATTTAATATTTACTTTGTTAAAAATTAGACAGATATAGCAAACACAAGTATTCTGCAGGGGTGCCCATACAGAAAATACTAAACAATAATTGAAGGATTGGTGGTCCAAGGGTCTTAAGATAAGAATAGAATATGCTTTGGTAATATATTACTCTTCAGTGGAATTCAACCAGTTCATATTGATTTTATTTTGAGCTGTTTTCCTTTCTTTGGTTATAGGTTTGGCCAGATTTACCCAATATAACAATAGATGAGACTTTAACTGAGGATGAAGCCGTTAATGTAAGTTTTTTCTTTTTCTTTTTTTTGCCAGTCCTAGAACTTGAACTCAGGGCCTGGGAACTGTCCTTGAGCCTGTCTATGATAGGCTAGTGCTCTACCACTTGAGCCATAGCACCACTTCCAACTTTTTCTGTTTATGTGTTACTGAGGAATCGAACCCAGGGCTTCATGCATGCTAGGCAAGCACTCTACCACTAAGCCACAATCCCAGCCCTGGTTTTTTCTGATTAATTCTATAACTAAAAACATTCCAGACTTGGGTTTAACAATCATTTTTGATCAACAGTTCAATTTGAATGCTCTTTTCTAAACAAGAAGTGGCTTCTATATTAGATCATGTTTAGTACACATTTAACTTTCACTAAAAACAAAAGTGTATCAGTCATTTGATTTAACTGTTATATTTTACTTTATTCAAACAGCCATCACTTTTTTGAAAAAAAGAAAGAACAACTATTATCTGTGGTTAGGACAATTAATTTGAGACTAGCAGTTAAATTTAGTTTATATAATAAGTGCATATATTGTAAGGACAATGTTATATTGCCAATTACCAGAAATTATTTCTCTTATATAATTGAGATTTTATGCCTGTTCTATACCAGTTTTCTACTTTTGTCAATTGTTTCATTGCTGGGTGCCAGTGGCTCACTAATCCTAGCTACTCAGGAGGCTGAGATCTGAGGATAACAGTTCAAAGCCAGCCCAGGCAGGAAAGTCTGAGTGACTTTTATCTCCAATTAACCACCAGAAAACCTGAAATGGCATTGTGGCTTAAGTGGTAAAGTGCTAGCCTTGAGCTGAAAAGCTGAGGGACAGTGCCCAGGTCCAGATTTCAAGCCCCACGACTGACCAAAATCAACAACAAAAAGCAAACCAATTGCTATCTTTGGCCAAACAGAATTGTATTCTCTGCTTTTTTGAAATTGACACTTATTTTATCTAAGAAGAATCATGCAACAAATATCCTTCTCTGACTGGCTTATTTGACACAATATAATATTTACAAGATTCCTTCCTAAAATTGAAACAAATGGAAAACTTATTTCATATATTAATAATAACAGAAAACAAGAATGACAAACCAGAGAAAATAGATTTTTAAACTGTCATCCCTGTAGAAATGTTAACTGTATAATAATAATAGATTTACTTACTAGAGAGCTAGAGCAATTATAAACATATGCAGAATTAATCATATCAATAATATTATTTTCATAATATAGTTACATTATTGATAATAGTATGTTTATTATAATTGATAATATTATCAATATAAATTTTTACCTTAAAGAACATAAAGCATCTGCCTACAGAAATGAAGCTAGAAATAGATCGCCATCCCTGAATATTTAAAATATTCTATTCTTTATTTTCAGTAAAAGTTAGAAAAACTAGAGACAATTTAATAAGGTGCAGATTTGAGCAACACATCAATTAAATAGCCTAAATTTGTTGTAAAGTCCATCTAACAGCAAGATACAATTTTTTCATTAAAAACTCATCATTCTCCAGCTTAGATTATATGTTAGTGAATACTGATATTATATGTTGAGAATATTGATCTTATGTCAGGTACTTTGTTATTAATTTTTTTCTTAGCAAAATAAACTAAGGATAAAAAGCATAATGAATATGAAGAAACAAACTTTTGAATAATTAATGGATAAAAGACTAGTTCAAAATGAATTGCAAAGTGTCTTGTAATAAGTAATAATTAGACACAAGATCTTAAAAATATGGGATATGACAAAAGCCATGTAAATTGAGTCTATAATAACAAAGGGAGTAAATGACACAAGAAACAAGAGAACAGTTTAAATGAAGCCCAGAGTTACCATAATGGAGAAAATGAATATGAGATCAAAATAAAAAATACAGAATTAATTTTTTTAAAAAACAGCCTTTGAAAGTATTTAATTTGAATGATTATAAACATTAAATCATTAAGATTGATGTTTATTTTAAAAAAACAAGGGAGCTTAAATTTTCCTAAAGTATTTCTAATGCAGAGTCAAAAGACAAAACATATTGAAGTATCAATTTGAGGGAAAACAATCTATTTTATATCTTCTTGAGTGTTTATTCTTGGATGGCAGTGGTAACAATGTAGGAGACATGATTTCTTATTGTAGGCGAAAGGAAATATACTCATTACCTGATTTATAATTATAAATCTCTCTGTTCATCGCCTCTCTAATAACAATAAAGTAAATTAGTTTAAAAAAATCCCTTAGGCTTCTGTTCCACAACAGGTAAAGAATATTGGATTATATGTACTTGGATTTTTTTTCTTGGGTAATCAATCATTTGCAATTAAAGGATAAGAACATTCATTTAAAGAAACACAATAAATAGCTGGGCACCCATGGCTTACACCTGTAATCCTAGCTACTCAGGAGGCTGAGATCATGGTTCAAAGCCAGTCTTACCAGAAAAGTTCCTGTGAGACTCTGATCTCTTATCAGAAAAAAATTAAATTTAAGAAATAAGATCTGGTGGTGTGTTTCTTGTGATTTATCATAATGATCCTCAGGAGATCTTAACTTAGAAAATATTCACTGACTATAATTCCAGTAAACTTTTATCCTGTGGAGAAAACAACCATGGAGAGGCATGATAAATTACAGTCTATTCATAACATCTTCATCACCTATGGCTTGCATTTTCTCTGTTCATATTTGCCTGTCATATCCTTGTCTGCAAGTTTCACAGGCAGGTAGTGCATTCAAAGTGTTCCAAGAAAACATTCGATATGTAGCTAGTTTTTTTTAAATTTAATTTCATTACTTCTCTTTAGTTTTAATTGACAACTTCAGGACAATCTTGCTAACACCGTGACATAGAACTTGGAACTTTTACATGAAGATTGGCAAGTAGTCATTTCGTTTGGTAGGAAATGGAATCAGATCTCTCTTTCCTGATAGCTAGTGGAGAGTTTTATGTGAGGAAGAGAAAAAGATAATGATAGTAGAGCACATGAATTGGTTCAAAGTTCATGGTGTGTGTGTGTATATACAAGTGTAACTGTAGAACCCTCAAGTATCACAAATGATTGCCAAGTCACAAAATAATAATTATGCTAATAAATAAGTTAACTGGGGGTGCTGGGAGACCCTGTTGGCTGTGAGAGTTCACAAAGGCTGGGAAATGCAATGTTTTCTTATTTTTACTTAAAGTTAAATTTGAATTGCTTCATTCTATTTTATTTTGCTCCATAATGATTGCTTGCAGCAGTTCCCTTCCTCCCAACACCACTGGGAAGGTTGGAGGAAATTCATAAACACTTATGTAACTAAATTGTTATCTGCTCACCACCCTGGTCAATCCCACATGACTTGTGAGTCACATAAAGTCTGAACTGGACACATAGGTTCTCAGTGCTGCTTTTCTACATGTGAGTCTGAATTCTAATTTTGGCAGGCCTCCAGAGCTCATGTAGCTTTCCCAGATTTCTTCAAGAATTCCACTGCAGAGTGGTGGACCAGGGAAATCATGGATTTCTACAATGACCAAATGAAGTTTGATGGCTTATGGATTGTAAGTGAGCTTTAATCAATGTATTTTATGCAGTAAGCTATAATCAACGTATTTTATGCAATGTATTGTATGTTCTATGGGGGGTAATAGTTATGGAACATTTTTAATTGACTCTAATCACATCAATTAAACCTTCGTTGTAAGAGGTAGAACGTTTTCCATAGAACTTTCTCATGCAAAGGACTGATGGTAATACAGTTTGAGCAATTCCATGGGTGTATGGAGCTTTTTACTGGAAATTATTAACTTGAATCTAAACCACTCAGCTTTTCAACTTGTTAATAAATATATCAAATTTTTGTTTTGTTTATGTTCAGTCAATAAGACTCTCTTCACTTTCAGCTTTTGTGTAAGAAATAATCTGTTTTGAACATCAAGATGTTGTATTTCAAATAATTTCCTGATTTTTGAATGAAGGCTTACAATGTTGATGGGAGGTTTTTATTTTTACACAACAATTTGAGGTAGTATAGAAAGAGTTCTGTTTATCATAAGTAAATATTCAATACAGAAGATTAAATCTAAGCTTGCAAAGATTTTATATGTGGCATTCATTTCTCCCTGAACAAGAAAACGTAGATTTTTAGTTGAAGAAAAAAATTATAGATTTTTATTGTAAAAATACTGTACAGAGGAGTTACAGTTACAAGAGTAAGGTTTTTTAATCGAGCATTGTTGCCTCCTCTTTTGTTTTTCCCCTACCATTACTAACTCCACTCCACTCCCCGACTACTAACCCCCCCACCTTGCCAAAGTTGTAAAGTTCATTTTCAACATAGTGTCTTGTACATTTCATTGTTACAGTGGGTCAACCTGTATCCTTATTTAAGCGTTTTGTTTTTTCCTTCCCTCCTCAAATTAGAAAAGTGTATATACAAGATGCAGGACACCAGAATCAAATACAGTGAAAACAGGGGTACTGTGAGGGAGGAACTACCAAGAACCCCCCCCAAATGTATAGTATACTATAAATATGTTTTAAAAAAACAAGAAAGAAAAGAAACAAGAAAGAAAATACATTTGTGCCCTCATGTTGGGGTTCAGCTGAAGAAAAATTTATAAGTATACTGTTATGAACAAGTTTTAAAGACATGAAATTTTATAAAAGGTAGCTCTCAAAATAATGGCAAGACAAATATTTGATAGAAAAATTCATATACTATTATAAGAGGTTCTTACTGTAACTGTCTTAAATTGGCACTATGATCTAGAGAAGATGTTTACATATTTTTATATATTTACATATTTAGGCCTCAATCTAGTTTCATATCTCTCTGGAGACTAAGAAGTTCTTATTGGAAACAATAAAACATCACATATTTTTAAATTTTATTTTTTTTAATTTTAATTTTATTGTCAAGGTGATGTACACAGGGGTTATAGTTACATAAGTAAGGTAGTAAATACATTTCTTGTTGACTTTTTTAGCCCTCCCTCATTTTTCTTCCACTTTCTGTCTTCCCAAATCTCCCCCAAAGTGGAAAGATCATTTCTAACATACTGTATTGTGAGTATCACTATTGCATTGCTTTCCCTTTTGTCCTTTGTCTCACCAATTTTTTGTTCCCTTTCCCTTCCCTAATTCAGATCAACGTACATATAATATCCAGTGGACCAAAATCAAGGAGAAAAGACACAAAAGAAAAAATGAAATCATGTAGTACATTAAAAACAACAATAACAAAGAAAAACTTCTTGTGTCCATGTCTTGGAGTTCATTTCACTTAGCATCATCCTATATGGTCATATGTCCATAGTTATTGAGCTATTCTTCTCATTAAACTATCTGGGTTTTTAAAGGAAAAAAAAGAATTGTTAACCAGGCAGCTGTGAGAAGGACGGAGCTGCTAAGTGATACACTAGTATTATAATTTATGCCTTGGGAACATAATTAATTTCACTTATTTATGTAGAATTCACACTACAGGGGAACATAGTATCTTATAATAAATGTGTTAAAGAACACTGAGCTGAACTCCTCAGTGGAACTGAAAGGGTTTATGTATGATTTTTTGAAATATGAGTAAAAATAAGGTTGTTCAAAGCTGTTTAAGTCAGGTGCCTGAGAATCACTTGTCATCCTAGCTACTCAGGAGGCTGAGATCTGAGGATCACTGTTCAAAGTCTGCCCAGACAGCAAAGTCCATGAGACACTTATCTCCAGTAAACCACCAGAAAATCATAAGTGGTGCTGTGGCTCAAGTGGTAGAGCACTAGCCTTGAACTGAAGAGCTGAGGGACAGAGCCCAGGCCTAGAGTTCAAGCCCCACAACTGACAAAAAAAAATAGAAAAGCTGTTTTAATCCTCTTGCAATCCCAAGGAATTGTTTTCAGAATCTGCATTCTAAATTCCTCAACAAACATTCGTTGTCTCTCTTTTTAAGGACATGAATGAGCCGTCAAGTTTTGTAAATGGAACAACTACTAACCAGTGCAGAAATGATCGGTTAAATTATCCACCTTATTCTCCAGGTACTATTTTATTGATATACTCTGATATGATTCTATTATGGATAGTGTGTGCTTATTATGGATAAAATGTGTGATTACCTAAGGATTCAGGACAAAACATTAATATCCTTTTCTTTTCTTTTTTGCCCATCCTTGGGCTTAAACTCACAACCTGGATGTTGTCCCTGAGCTCAAGGTTAGCTCTCTACCACTTGAGGCACAGCACCATTTCTGGCTTTTTGGTTGTTAATTGGAGATAAGAGTCTTTTGGACGTTACTGCTTGAGCTGGCTTCAAACCATCATTCTCATATCTTAGTCTTCTGAGTAGCTAGGATTACATATCAAAGCCACCGACACCAGGTCAAAAGGTTCATATTATACTTCACACATTGAACTACATCTTCACCTATTATCAATGTTACTTAACACTATTTTGACAGAAAAAAATCAAGAAATTTTAATTTGAACCACAACATCTAAATTGGTTTGAAAATATTTTTAAAATTGTTATTATAAAGGAGTTATACAGAAGTGCTCCAGTTACATAAGTCAGGTAAGGAGTACATTTATTTTTTCTCATCAAGATTTTAGAAGATTTTTTATATTAATTTTTTATTGTGAAAATACCGTACAGAGGGGTTACAATTACATGAGCAAGGTAATGAGTACATTTCTTATCAAGCATTGTTGCCTCTTCCTTTGTTTCCCCTTCCCATCCCTACTCATCCCTTCCCATTTCCACTCCCTACCTCCCTCCCCACACCAAAGTTGTAAAGTTCGTTTTTTCGACATATCGTCTTGTACATCTCATTGTTGCAATGAGTCCACCTATATCCCTATTTAAACAATTTGTTTTTTCCCTTCCCCTCCACAAATTATACCAACATCAAATACAGGAGTTATACCATGGGGGAGGGATACAAAGTTGAAACCTGACCCCTCTTCTTTTGCTCTCTTTCAGTTTTTCCCACCCATCCCCACCCACAAATTGTATAGTTCATTTTCAACATAGTTTCTAGTGAGTACCACTGCTGGATTTGTTCACCCTGTGTCCCACATCTCTTCTTTGGATTTTTTTTTTTTTTTTTGGTCAGTCGTGGGGCTTAAACTCTGGGCCTGGGCGCTGTCTCTATGCTCTTCAGCTCAAGGAGAACACTCTACCGCTTGAGCCATAAGGCCACTTCCGATTTTCTAGTGGTTTATTGGAGATAAGAGACTCATAGACGTTCCTGCCTGGGCTGGCTTTGAGCCGCGATCCTCAGATCTCAGCCTTCTGAGTAGCTAGGATGACAGGCCTGAGCCACGGGTGCTCAGCTTTCTTTGGATTTTTTATGCTGAATTTTTATTTTATGATTCTCCATAGATTTAAATTTTTACATATGCCTTTGGATTAAAACCAAACTTGTATTTTAAAAAAGCAAAAAGTACCTGGCTCTACTAGCTTGGCGCTAGTGAGCCGAGGATCTCACCATCCTGACTTTGTCTTGTCTTGCAATCATCCTGATTATAACTGTGCAATAGCTAGAGTTGTTGTTGCTGTTATTTGGTCATGGGGCTTGAACTCAAGCCTGAGCCCTTTTGCCCAAGGTTAGCATTCTATCCCTTTGAGCCACAGCTCCACATCAATTTTTTTTATTGTGAAAATACTGTACAGAAGGGTTACAATTACATGGGCAAGACAATGAGTACATTTCTTATCAAGCATTGTAGTCTCCTCCTTTGTTTCCCCTTCCCATCCCTTCCTGTCCTCCCCGCACTCCCCCACCCAATCCGCCTCCCCCCCCCAAAGTTGTAAAGTTCGTTTTCAACATAACGACTTGTACGTCTCATTGTTGCAATGGGTCCACCTGTATCCCTATTTAAACGATTGATTTTTTTCCTCTTCCCCTCCACAAATAATACCGACATCAAATACAATGAAAGCAGAGGTTATACCGTGGGGGAGGGACATACAAAGCAACAAAGAAATCTTATAAATGTGTTAGAAACAAATGCATGAAAGAAAAAAAACACATTTGAATACATATCTTAGGATTCATTTCCCTAACATTAGCTTATCTGACCTTTTCTGTTTGACTCACACATATACTAAATATTGCAAATAAGGGAAACCATGGGACCCATGTTTCTTTGGGCCTGGCTTACTTCACTTAATATAATTTTTTCCAAGTCTTTCCATTTCCTAACA